TAGAAGGTAGCTGATATATTGCTTGCGTAGTAAAAGCTTACTATCATTTTTTATCTTATTTTAAGTTGACGAAGCCGCGGGGGACCGCTAGATATAGTATAAAAATAAATTGCTATTTCTGACTGACTGAATTTGTATGGATGCTTGGTGTGTAGAAATCTACACTAAGAATTAGCTAAGATTGCGAGATGTTTCTCATGAATATTTTGTTTATTCCTTTTATAAATATTCTGTTGGTATATCACTGTAATTTAATTAACACGAGTCGACGTAAAATCACATCGATTCTCTTATAGTCACGTTTAATTTACAATAGAGGTATTCTTGATATATTTTTTTTGTGTTTCCAATCACGCACATACCGTATGTTACTTATAATATGTTTTATAATTTATAACAAAGCATAGTCTGTCAAAACTTTATGTTGAATCGTTTTTCAATAATAAGTGAGTAAAGCTATTGTTTGCACAGGAAATGATGTCTATAGTCGCCACATTAAGAATGTCAACTAAACGGTTACACATCGCATGTCCCTTTTGTATATCAGCTGGCAAACAGAGAAATCAGCTCAATATGAGTCACCACTTAGGGGCTCGGAGCCTACCCTAAGTCACGAGCGACTAGGCCATAGTCAACTACGCTGGCCCAGTGCAGGTTGGTTGACTTCACACATATCATAGAATTTCTTCTCAGATATGTGCAGGTTGCATCACGATATTGTCCTTCACAGTAAGAACCTCGGATAAATGTACATATGTAAATCAGAAATCGAAAAACACATTGGTACATGGCGGGATTCGAACACTGGACCTGCAGATTGCAAGTCAATTGCTTGACCGATGAGCCCCCGTCGCTCAAGTTGTATATCGTTATTAAAATTTGTAAGTATTAAGAATTTATCCGATATTTTTTTGTAATTACTTTCGTAGACCTTTCGTTATTACAAGACAGTATCGACTGTAGCAATCTTATGATCTGTAATTAATGTATTAGCAACAACTTTGTTGCTTACTTACTAAATATGGAAAGGAAGTTATAAGTAATCTGTAGCACCTCAAGAATCCAATTCGTCTGGAAGAAATAGTGGTATAAAAAGATAGTAATATCGATGAGAAATATAATAATATTAGCACTTACAGGAAAACGTCTTTGATAACATATTTAAATCATATGTGTTTATAAAATTTTCTTTGTTAAAACTACTCAATACTTATTCCTAGACTAAATAACTGGCACAATTCATAAAGAAGTTTGCAATTATGTTTGATAATACTTCTCTTGGAATATAAAACATATCCTGTTAAGTTCTATGTTTATTTTTCAGTTCAATAGCAATGGTACAGTCGGCGCGTGCAGTTCCACATGACTTATGTTGACTCATTGTAATTACAGTTCGCCATAATCAAACAGATAAGAGTTGCTACCAACTATTAACTTGCATAATCTAAACATGAAATAACTTAAATAACTAAGTAAAAACATACATATTAAAACGTTTCAGATGTAGACAAATGATATAGGTTTTATAACATTAAATTCAATAAAAACATTGATGAATAATATTCAAAGCTTTAGAATTTTTTCTCGTACAACAATGGGGAAATCATCAATTAAATAATTTGTTATCAGTCAGAGATATCTTAAGTCAAAGCGATGTAGGAAAATACAATAAAAAGAGATAAAATAAGTACCTACAAAAATAATTTATAGCGCGACAAGTCACAGGTAAAAAGTTAAAGTAATAAAAATATAGTACAAAAAGCCTTACTTGTATACATAATTCATTTATACCTAATCAGATGTTTATACTTTATAATTTTAGTGCAATTGCCGTTATTTAGTTTACTGCGTAAAGTTAAAAATAAGTATCAAAGTTCACGATAGCAAAATTGTTAATAAGAAATTTATTTTTCAACATTATTTAACTATAAATATACTGTAAACAAATGAGTTGTTTTGCTGACGTTCTTATTACAAACGTTATTATAATTATCAACAGTTTTTGTACAGCTTTATAATAGAATCTTCTTTAATGTTAAACAAATATTCGCTAGTATTTACTTACAACTATGAACAATATTATTATATACAAGTTACAGTTAAATTTAAAATAATGCAAAAAGAACTTAGTAATAATCTTATATATAAAATTCTCGTGTCACAATTTTCGTTCCCATACTCCTCCGAAACGGTTTGACCGATTCTCACGAAATTTTGTGAGCATATTGAGTAGGTCTGAGAATCGGCCAACATCTATTTATAATCCCGCGCGGACGGAGACGCGGGCGACAGCTAGTATAATATAAGTTAATAGTAATATTATACGATGGTAGTACTAGTGATTCATTTAGTATAACGTTTCTTAAATGACATATCAAAAGTAAATGCAAAAAGCTGATCTTCGCAGTTTTGTAATAAAAGAACTTAGTCTTTCAAACTTACGCAAATAATAGGCCTGTGTACTCATTAGCTTAAAAATTATCTAATTAAGTTGTACAATAAATTAAATCGGATAAATATTATCGAATAAAAACATCAGTTAACTGGCAAAATAAAAACATTAATTACTTGTTCAAAGAACAATTTATAAGTCGTTAAACCATTGTTAGTGATATTTGTTAGATTATTACTACCACTTTTACCATTAAATACAGTCCAAGGTCGAATGTATTTACCATTACGTTTCTAAATTATTAAATAATATGCATAATAGTTGGTCGTCTTGAGAATGCTGCACCAACCATGGTATTTTCTAGAACAAAACCGCATAAACAATTAGTCACAGCTTTGTTTACAGCTTGGGATGTAAAACAAAAATGTCACGGTCTCTCCCATCGAGGTTTCTCAAAAAATGTAATTATAGGTACAGTACTTATATGCATTTAAGTCAACAGATGATTCATTGTTTGTCCTTATTCGTCGTATTGTTAATTAATAATTATGTCTGTAGAATACTCTAGCTATATTCTCACGTTCCATATATAATAAATCTACGATCCAAAGTTATAGTGCAAAAAAGTTCATGTTTTATATATATGGGATAGTTCTCGAGATTATTCTAATTTCCGCCAAAACCTTAAAATATTACTCACAATCTGGAAAAACAGACCTACTTTATAAATCGCGAGGTCTAGAAACATGTTATCAATATTGAATCTAATAAAGCGGTAAAGGTTTGTTATAAAAAATGTTTTAATATTATCTAGTAACAATTAACTATAGCTGAAACCAAATTTAAAATAAGAAATCGTTATAGGTGTTACCTGATAAGCTCAAAATTACTGAAACGCTTTAAACATTCTTTGTCTATTGGATCTTACATAAGGAAGCTAGGCTATTTTTTATCTGCATATCTACCCAAAAGAAGTTGAGGATTGCAAAGTTCAAGAAAAGTGAATGTATAGATAGTCATAACATTCTCAGCAATCACGGAGACCTTATTACATGTCAACTTTTATGGCTTTACGTCAATAGCCTTTATAGCACTAGTAATTGGACGCTATCTGGACACGCTTCAATGATTTGATAAAATTAATTAATTTACTATGACTATAATGATAAATACCTAAACTAATCAGGATCTATAATAACAGTGGTAGAGCCCGCTTTAACATCTTCGCACGAATTGGCCCGGCTCGCCCCGTGAAATACCACGACCACACAGAAGACAGGCGTGAAGTGGAAGCAATTCCGCGTTTCGTCTAATGAGTGTGCGGAGTTATTGTAAGGAAAGGATGGGAAGTGAAAGTGGACTTTCCGGATGAGAGGATGCATGGAAAGGGAAAATATTTTCTTTGTGTGCATCCTCTCCTCCGTCGATTGAAGGTGGGGCGACGCATATGCAATTGCGTATGTCTATGGGCAACAGTCGCTTCGCTGTTTCAGCGACTTCAGGTGGCCGCTCGCTCGTTTGCCACCTTATGGTATTAAAAAAACCAAAATACATACAATTTGTACTTGAAGCGACAACGATAGTTGGTAATCATGCTTCTTTGCTAAATTGTGGTTAACTTTAAGCTTACGTAGTTATGACATCTCTGTTTTATCAATACAAATGAAAGAGAAGACAATATGTTTTGTACACGGTGATTGATGATTATTTTATCAATTAACATTGCCTTACCTGACTGACAAATTATTTAAGCCATTGCTATAAGTGTAGACTTGTAAATAGCTATATGTTAACTATCTTGTGTCTATTATGTTCACTTTCTAGCTGTAAGTCTACCATGTAAGTAAATAAATAAATTACGTTTGAAGCAATTCAGGCGAGATCTTGGCAATTGAGCCGTATGTTTGGCTTGTGCTAAACACTGTTAGTTGTACATTATGTTATTATTATATTAATAAGTAATACGTGTTTAAGTTTAATGTGAGATACGATGAGCGAAACCACAACATCATCACGTTCCACACTGAGCTAAACCGGTTATTACCAGTTCCTTTCAATTCAATCATTTTGATAAGTGGCTTCTGTTGAACTTTTCCCTGCGATAAAATAAAATAGAACGTAGAAAAATAATTCAAGGAATTAAAAACAAAAAAAATCTAATAATGTAAATGCGAATTTTTAAATGTATGGATGCTTCTTACAAGGTATCTGCAGAACGGCCTAACGGGTCTAGAAGAAATTTGGCATAAATGTAGAACATAGTATAAGCACTAAGCTTTTTTGTCTCTGATTGACGGAGTCACGGGCGACAGTTTAAAAGCATACATTCGACCGACATAAGGCCACTTAGAAACGGTTTCATCTACTCGTTTAAATAAGGCGGTTAAAAAGGTCATCTCCAAATTTTGTTGATCTACCATTATGGCAGACGGATCTATTTATCTCTTAAAAGGAAATTTTTGCTGTGCTCCAAATACAAGTGTTATTTTGTTAATAAAAAATGTTGTCAGTTGTTATCAACACTTAGTAACAACGGGGGCAAAGTTCAGCATTCGGAATTTTTTTTAATTAAAACAACAAGCATTTTTTATTTATTTTATTATTCTATAACAAATAATTACAGTAAAATGTTATAAGTTATGAGATTAAGATCCATTGGGCTGCAACCTGCATGTATCTCAAACAGTTTGCTTCGTCCCACGTGTTTTTACTTGATAGCTCAAAAAACAATATCAATAGTTGTTATATAACTGATTCGGGATTATTACAGTTCCTGAAATTAATAGCCTCCAGTTGTTTTAGGAGTAGGTAAAAGTTTTTATCCAAGTTTTTATTGCGAATACCAAATGCTGAATGATTTATGCATTCATCATAGTTCTTGTTAAGTTTTGGTATAAGACACAATTCAATGATTTGCTCTATTTTTCTGAAAGTATTCATTATTGTTGTGCATTAAATCTTCTTGTACATCAATGCTTACAAATTTATTTATTTACAAATAATACACTGCTAAAACAATACGATGACATTATTATTAATAATTTATTTTTATATGGAAAAAAATAAATAAATTACCAGAACGAAAAAATGTAAAATAAATATTTATCTTTATATTATCTAATAAAGACGGAACATTTGAAGGTTAAACATTTAAAGATACAAATCTAATAACTACACAAAGTTCATATTTACTGTAAAACATCACTACAGTGACATTTTACATAATACCATCCCTTTCATTCCCTTTGACAAAACAGAGATAACAATATGTCACATGTACAACTGCAAGTGTGACGTATAGAATTAGCCTATATAATTAAATTCTAAGTTCTTGAAATGATGAAAGTTGTTGAAATGTTGAATACTAAGGGATTTAATATTTTTAGACATTATTAATTACAATCCTTTGGCGCGAATGACGTGCTTTCGTTACAAAGTCTAGTGTCAGAATGAATGTGAGGGGACACAAACGTCGACATTTTAGTAAGGCTAGTGTTGAGTCAATACACAGGCTCATTTCCGGATTTTCTTCCGAACAATATAGTCATGCAACTACTTTTTTCAAGTGTAGCCATTTACAATTCTAATAAAAACATATTTTTCAGCAAATTCAAAGCTCGCGCTTGTAATTCGTTTTGCGGAACTAGATCCATGTTCACGTATTTAGAGGCTTGTAGTATTTTAAAACAGGATATATCTTCAGGCAGTAGTTTGTGGTAGACTTCCGCAAACATCCTCTTTGCTGTCTCGCCGTGATACGTGAGCGGGTCTAGTATGTCGGCGAGATCTGATGGTTGCAGGAGGCAGCATATATGAGATATAGTCACACATAACTGAAACGACAAGGAAATGGTTAATTAAAAAGTAAATCCGGCTCGAAGGACCACAAAATTAATCGTTTAATTTCAGAAGGCAATTTCATGATTTGCAGTTGTAACAACTGTAACCGACAGTGCCCAGAGAACTGCTAAACGTAAATAGGCCAGATGCAATATTTTAGAACGAACTATTAGTCAATAAATTTTAGTACATGAAAAGGCCTAGATATGACTTTTTTTGTACAAGGTCTTGGTCTGGATGAGAAATTTAATAAACGTCTTAGGAGTTGTCTATATTGTTCTGCTTAGTGGGTATACCTGTTCAGCAAGATTGTCCTTGTGCTTGTACTCAGAGAAGTCATCAAGATGCGCTGCACTGTCGAGTGCCTCAGCAAGTCCTCGCCACAGAGCGGGGAGCTGCTCCCCCACCTGCCAGCGCCGCGCACACGACCGCAGCGCCACCGCGGCCGTTATACGCACCTTTATGTTCTTTGAAATCTGCGCCAACTTGCACAGCGTCTGGAGCACTTCCGCCTAAGTCATAAATATTGCTTGTATTATGGTCAGCTTTACTTTGTAATTTTAGCAAAATCAGATGGCCATAGCAAAACTACTCACCTGCCATCCTTGAAAGCATGTATAAAGGTATTCATTCTTCAAAACATTTCCGAGGGCATAGCATGCGTTCCAGCGGACCTTCATGCTGGCGACATGAGTCGCGCATCCCATCAGCCGGGTGATGGCGGTCTCGAACAACGGCTTCAGAGTCAGGTTTTGCTCCAAGTTTTCACGAGTTAGTATACGCAATAAATTGCCTATAGCACGCATCGCATTCATTTTCACCTAAAATAATACGAGGACAGTTATTTTATTTGAGACAATGCTATTAGGTTGACTACTGGCCATCGCAACTTCATTCTAATCTGACCTCTGAACCATAGATAAACTACATTTGACGCTAAAATTAGTATTTTACAAAATATTTCTACCTTTATTTAACAACATCACTGAAGTGATAGAGAAGGATACATTTTAAAATTTTCACAAAATAATTTAAAAAATGTAATATAAATGAACGAAGTTTACTTATATGTTTGTAGACGTTCTTATGAATTATTGCGAAATTTGGATTTACTTTGTCATTGTCTATAGCGCTGAAGACACTGGCCTCCATCAGACGCACCAGCAGGTCATCGCTGATGCGGTCCAGCTCCGGCACCTCCCTGTAACACAACCTAATACACTACCCGTGCACAATAACTTAACATCTAATAACATCACATGGACGTTGAATAAGTTGCGTAAAATATTGTCGATGTTTTTATCAATGTATGTTTACTATCTTATATTGCATTGCACAATATTTATTTGTAAAATTTACTACGCGGTTCTTTCCATGGACGGCAATTAATACGTTGTAATCAGACTACATATCGGCTGTTTATAATTTATACCAGATTATTCCAGTTTCTTTCTTAAAATAACACTATTCAAATATAAACTAAAAAGTTAATACAATGAAAGCGGTATACAAAATCATGTTGCTATCTCTTTCTCACTCTAGTTCTTTCTCTTTCTCCCTCTCTTCTCTCTCTTACTTACATATTGAGGACGAGCGCGTCGCTGAGGTTGGCGAGTGCCCAGGCGGCCTTGGTGCGGACTTGCAGCGTGGGCTCCTCCAGCGCACGCAGGATGTTCTCCGCGCAATCGCTCACGAAACAGATGTCCTGTAAACAAAAGCTGTAAGTAACCGCTCTCATTGATTTTTCTGTACACTTCTTCTAATTATTAAAACCGCAATTTACAAACTCAAATGCATAAAGCCCGCTGCACACCTGTAGTTTTAACTGCACAGTTTTTAGTTATAACTGTGCAATATTACTTACAGTTAAAATATCACCTACATATATAAATTTGAACTGTACAATCCGACTGTGCAGTTAAAACTGAATGTGTATACTGTCGTCCCCGACTCCTTCCGCATGAAATTAAAAGAAACCTAATCAGTAATCTATGTGTTCTTCCAAATTACATCGAGATCCGTTGAGCCATTCTGGAATCTACCTCCTAACATCCATCCAAACTTTTGCTTTCTTAATATAAGTAAGAATTAGTAAGAAATAAGATATCGTTAGAGCGTATGTGTCACCTCTCTAAGCGTGCGGTACATGACGGCCATGGCCAGCGCGCGTACTGCGGCGGCGCGCACTGCGGGGTGACTGTCGCAGCACGAGCCCATCAGCAGCGCGCAGCACAACATCTGCTGCGGCCGCTGTAACAATCATACAGATTGTAATAGAATCCAAACAAAAAAAATGCCACAGAGCTTGACGAAGAAAAGAACAGAAACACTCTTTGTGTACGTTTATTTCTCAGTTTACTAAATAATATATAAAACAATCGATTAACATAGCTACTAATATTTCTTCCGATGAGATACATACTCTTTTCATAGTTTCCACCTTTGTTATAGAGGTATTCAAATATCTTAGCTTTTTGGAATTGCATGAGTCGCCGAGATATTTGAAAAGACGTATACCTCGCTTACTAAGAACTCCCTAAAGTTTTCATATTGTAGATTTATTTAATGGATTTATGCTTAGTTTTTTAATAACATACACAATAAATAATTACCATCATTTCTTTGAAACATTTCTCTCCGATGTTGGCGATGCAATCGCAGACAACAGCTTTCGCATTTGGGTTCTCTTGCGACTGAAGCACGCGGCATAATGGATTGAGTAGTTTCTCCCACACGCACAGATTCTCCTGTATCGATAGAGCGAGCTCTGTGCGCTCTATCACAAACATTACATATTAAAAAAAATATGGACTAATTGATAACCTCCTTCTTATTGAAGTCGGTGAAAATGTATATAGAACACCGATTATTTGTTATTAAAAACGCATTTACTTATAATTAGTGGCAGTAATTTACATCGACTTTTAGACAAGCGACAAACTGCTCATACTATCCTTCTCACTCACTCCTTTAAGCGCTTTGTGCGAAAGAGATAACGCTCTAAGAAACTTGAATTACGAAATTTTACTTATCAAATATTAATATACAATATTAAATTTTAAAAAAGGCAGTAAATTGACATTATCATAAAAAATATCATAACTTCTTGCTTATAATAAAATTATTGAATCTGTGAGACATTATAATAAATTAAATTAGGAACGATTTAACTTACGTATAGTATGACGGCACCGACTATTTTCGGACCAATCGGTGGTCCTAAACTAGTCGGTGCCGTCAGCAGACGAACAGTGTGTTAAGTCGTTCCTACTTAATTTCTTACTTATATATTCATACTAACCCAACTTCTGCATGCCGTCAGCAATAACACTGATAGTTTTTGCACACTGTAGAGTCAAGTCAGGGTGGTTGATCCGCAATAAATCACTCAACAATTCAGTCATCATAACTAAATGCGGTCTCAATAACTCTCCTAAATAATGGAAAGCGATAGCTGACAGTACTTGTAATGTTTCCAGTATTACTGGTACTGGAGGCAGCGAGCAATTCTGAAAATATTTATAATATGTAACTGGTTATGCCCGCGGCTTCGTCCGCGTGAAATGTTGTCTTTTGGTAGCAATTTATATAACATTACAACGAACCATTCAATATAATAAAACCTAACTAAACCTTAAACATTCTCATCCAAACTTTCATTCTAAAGTTTTAGAAACTTTGAATGTCATATTTACTAATATCAAATAAACAGCCTAAAAATAGGATTCAGGCTTCGGTAAGCTAAGGTAAAAGTGATAATAGTTCCATAAAACTTTCCCTTCCCCCTTTCAACGCTTTTTTAGCATTAATTAATCTCCTTTTTCCTTTCTCAGGTTCTAGACTATCTGTATATCTAATTTCATTTAAATCGGTTAAGTAGTTTTGGTGTCAAAATGCGACAGACAGACAGAGTTTCACAATTATTACATAAAATAAAGGATAAAACATTTTATACATTGAATAATTTAAAAGTAACTTAAACTCACCATAATTTGACCTTTATGAAACACGATGCCGAAATTTTTGAAACACACACCAATAACCCAACTAGTGACCCGCAAAGATTCTTCATACTTCTCTTTAAGCAAATGTGGTTGTCTCTCTATGGTCACCACTACATCCTCATCTGGATAGGATTCTTCAAAGTCAGCGCAGTTATGTCCATTTGGCACTACAGCTTTTGCATCCTCCGGATTACCACCTGGTTCTTCATCCCTCAAAACTCTTAGTATCTCATCGACTTTAGGATCCACTGATATCATGGATCCAATCGCCACTAATGAACCAAGTTGAATATTTATATCTGAAAAGAAATTAAAATATAATAGATTGTGTCCGATAGATGCATACTTCTATTTTGCATAATAACATTCAAGTCCTAAACATTCAAATAACAAAAATGCATTCACAAATTGGAGACAAACATCAAAATTTTTAAACAAATCTTGAAACATATTGACTTCTGCTTGCACTAACAAATATTCACAATGAAATAGTTTTGTCATTTGTCATATTTGGTATTCATACTAAAGTAATATTACTAATATTATAAATGCGAATGTTTAGATGGATAGATGGATGTTTGTTTGAAGGTATCTCCAGAACATCTTAATCAATTTCACAGAACCTGGCTTCTTATCAACGTTTTTTTTTAATTCCGTGCGGACGATGTCGCGAGCGACAACTAGTATATTGTCAACGTGCAATTGCTTCCAATTGACGCTTTTCTTCTATGTGGTATTATTTCAAAATGTTGTTGCTGGTGTCTACCACATTAGTCTGATTCCTCAGATGTATAGCATGTATGTAATTTTAAACCATACCTTTTCGCTTAAGAAATGTCTTTGTGCATTTAATCAAAGCTTCAATCAGTCCCGGCTGTAGTTTATGGTAAGGTGTGGCCTGAGCCAATGCGGCGGTGCATTTCAAGGCCATTATAGTCACACTCTCGCATTTCTCTATTGTCAGAACATTAATAAGCCCAATGTGTATGCAGGTTAACATATATCCCAAGGTGACTGGGAATGGTACAACTGATTCATTAACTCTGGTACTGAAAGAAATATTTTTAATTTAAAAATTATAATTTTCTGAAGTGCAAGCGGCCTTTTATCTTATTTGTTCATCTATCTAGATCTAGACAAAGCAGGCAGGGTAAGTTTATTAGTTTATGAAGTATGAGTTATGAAAAATTTAAAATAAATCTCTATTTCATGCGTACCATGTATCACGGTGAAGGAAAACATCATGATGACACATGAACATATCTGCGAAGAAATTCAAAAATATGTGTAAAGTTAGCCCACCCACACTGGGTAAGCATGATTGACTATAGCCTAGTCACTCCACTTGGGTAGGCTCCAAGGCCCTGATTAGGGACGTATAGTGAGCAGATTATGATGTATTGTTATTTTCCTAATTTATTATGTTTACTTGAGTGCACTTGCAATGACAGTCGGTGGCTACAAATGTGCACAAACTAAATAGCAAGCATATATAAATAGTTACCTTGTTTCGGCTTGTGCTAAGTATGGCCTTGAGCCGGATAGTAATGTCAGTACAACTCCTAAAGCACCGGTTCGACCTTTAGGTGATGGATCAGATATAGCGCAGAAGATGAGTGACTTCTTTCCATTTTCAGTGTTGAACCAATATTCAGGTTCACAATTATTGGGCATAAACTTCCACCAATATGGAAAGATTTCTCTTTTACCTTTAATCTGATTAAAGCAAAAAAAATTTACAAAATCCTTATATTGTTGAAAAAAAATTAAAGTGAGAACCATGTTTATATGTTAAGCGATTATTATGTGAGTGTGTCATACAATGTCTAGTTTAATTCACTAAATAAAAAAAAAAACATTTTCCATCAGGAGCATGTTACCAAATGGAATGTTTTTTTTCCTCATAAAATAATTAATATTGATTATTGCTCACCTTGATAATAACCAAAAATAATTTTGCAGCATATTGTCTTATTACAGTCTTGAAATCAATCACTTCAGGTCTGTATTTCAAATCGAAACTAAAGTTGGTACAGGTTTCAGCACATTCAACAAATTGCGGTGGGTCTAAGAATTTTTTATTTATCGGCTCATAAGCAGAGTCAGTGTTGAACTGGTCTACATCCTTCATGACACTGGGGTCCGATGCTTCTTTTTTTAAGTTTTCAATAGCATTATTTCTTGGCTTTCGTAGTTTTTGTTTCTAGAAAGTGATTTAAATCTTACTATTATAAATGCGAATGCTTAGATGGATGGACAGATGTTTGTTTAAAGGTATCTCAAGGAAGGCTGAACGAATCACGATGAAATTTGCCATACATATAGAACATAGTCTGTAAGTACACATAGGCTGCTAATTATGTTTTTTTTATTCTGCGCGGACGGAGTCGCGGACAGCAGCTAGTTAACAATAATTAGGCACAAAAAATGCAGGATGTATAACTTTTCTTCATTAGTTTTTCTCCTTATACACACATATATAATTTATAAACTAGTAAATAAAGTCCATTTACCTTTCCTGCATTTGGGGTAATTTTCACTGGTTCTATAACATTAGCATGTTCTATTGGTGTCAATTTGTCAGGTTTAGTGTATCTAATACTCAAGCCATAAAGAATAAAGTGGCGGGCTATGCTAATGGCATCTGATAATGGAAAATGCAAATCTGGATTGTGATACAATAGATGACATAAAGTCCGTAGAGCCGGTTCCAGTGCCTGAAATTAAATCATACAAGGTTGAAAGGCCAACTGTAGATATTGTCATTTTAAAATCTGTTTATAATTTACACACCGCCAAATTATGAACTAAACATTAATTATTTGTTATACACATTGAAAATCAACATAAATTATCAGATTAAAGCTCTTTTATAATATAACTTTGTTGATCTTCCTTTCATTTAATTAGCACTTATTTAGCCATCAAGATAAGATGATTAAAAACCTTGACAAACACTCCCAACAATTATTTATAGTATTAATTATTAACTTACCATATTATAGAAAAAATCACATTCCTTTGGCACACCATTCATAAGAAATTCCATAAGTGTTTCAACAATGAGTTGTTTATTTATATTTGCTGTATATTGCTTAGGATTTTGATGTAAATATACTGTTAGATGTGATATTATTCTTACTAGTAGTACAGGTGTTTTCACAACATCAATATTCCAGTTCTCTTGGTTACTTATAAGGTCTTTAAGAATTTTTATAAACAAACCCTCAGAGCCTAGTAATGATTCAGCATGCTACAAAAACAAAACCAAATGATTATAGCATCTCTTTGATGAAAATATTCATTAGATTAGACACTTATCAATCTTTTAATAATACCTTTGCTAAAAGATATGTCCTTTTTGGTAAACTGTCATGTGTATGAAAGAGAACATCTGTTAGGACATTTCCTGAACAGAATTGAATGCTTACAATACGCCACACTGTTAAGATTTCCCAGAGTTCTTCAGAAAACTCATGATTTGTCTTAGTGAATAACTTGTGTAGTAAGCTTGAAGCTTTTGATGTAAGGATTTCATTACATGGTATGATTCCGTCACAAATATGTCTAGTCAATTGTTCAATATTCTGAAATAAATAAAATTGATAAGATTGTATAGTTTTCGAACATAAAGATGATTTTCATGCAGAGTAAGTCCATATGTGATTTTCTTCATCAATATTTTTATTTAGGATCTGCTATAAAATGCAAATAAAACTGTAGTCCAATGACTCACCCGATGTATTTCAAAATATTCATTTTCATTTCTTGTAAATGTTATGTTGATGAATTCATCTATAAGTGTCTGAACTTCTTCAACATTTCTCTTTTCTGAAGAAAGGGCTTTATGCAGCTGTTGAACAATCTCGTTAATTGCCCGAGGCGGATTCACCATGATTGAAGCCAAACTGCTCAATCTTAAGTGATATCACAAGATAACAATAAATCATGGAATTCTAATTTTTACCACTATTATTTACTCTATCTCGAAAATACCGTGTAGAATATTGATTACACTATTAACTTAGTAATCTTGGGTGGATAAGTATAAAACTACAATGACAGTGACAATTTTTTTTTTTTAATTTCATGACCTGGTAACATAGACCTTTAGCTCATAAGTGACAATTGACATTGACAAATGCAAAAGAATAGGTCAAAAAAAGTGCGAATCGGTTTGATTACAAAAAAAAAGTAAATACAAACAATATTAAACCTCATAGCTAAAATCTATTAGGATTAGGATATCCAGAAAACGGTGCAAATCTGAATCCCTCTTATCTATAGTATATTTACTATACTCTTTGCTCTTATCAATAAATTGGTTCCTTGAACATATTCGTATGATAAACCGATGACTGGTTTAATTCAGATCATCAAAAAGCAAATTATTTTATCAACGAATCTAAATATGCCAATGACAATTTTATTAAATGTGTTTAATGTTTTTTAGTTATTTATTAAATATTTTTTGGTTTCCATAGTTACGATAAATTTTAATCGGTTGTGTTAAATTGAAAGCAGATAAATAGTAACTGGGAGACAAATAAAGAATATTTAAGGATGCCCTTTGATAGTCAGAAGACTAATAATGGTTTTATAAAGCATCCTTGGCAAACAACAATCAAAGATCAGTTTGTTTCTTTCATCAAATATGGACATAACTCAGTATACAATCCACACAATAAAATGAAAGTGAAGCGAGATGCTGCACCAACAAAGTTTACAATAATCGGAAACAGGATTGCGAAAGAGTTTATTTACTGTGTAAAATTAGTAAGTGGACTTTACAAGTACAGAAGAAATGATTTCGAAGCTCCTGTAATACGAGGTATTGAAATTGGTATACTGAAGAAATGAATTTCAGAGACATTTATAATGCGCGCTCAGGGCGTACTGTAGTATCCAAAAAGCAAAAGGAAATGTGAAAAAATCAATCTCGATTTAACTTAATGACAAAAATTCGTCGGTCAATTAGTTATTCTGATCATATTTATTAATTTTTTTGTATGCAAATTTATTTATTTTCAGGTGTAAGTAGTGTGGAATGGCCTCAAGTTTGGAATGATTTAAAACTACAATACGGTGGCCTGGCTTATTGCATAACGAGCGATGTTGCAGTTATTGTAAACAAAACATTCCTTGGGGGCGAAAAAGAGTTAAAAGAATTGATCGAATCAAAATACAGCTATCATATATGCCCTGATTACTACAAAGAAGCAATCGGAGAATTTACTAAATATGTTGACAATACTGGAGTATGCGTTTTGAATATTAATTAAGAACCTTTTACAAACATAAGTTTCAATAATAAGAATAAATTCGAGATGATTATTGAAATTCAAACAACTAATGTAACGCCTCACGTGACATTAGTTGACTACCGTTGACCATACGAGAGTTATAGTTGAGGAAAGGGAAGACTTATAGACAAATCGAGAATATACAAAATATTCCTTTATTTACTTAGCTCTTTGTAGCCTGGATGTCTAGGTGCCTCCCTTCATCTTCATAATATTACTTATGTTCATTAATATCTATCTGTTATTGTTTAAGTGTAATAATTCCAGAGGCCTTTCGTTTACATGCATTTTTACATCGAGGGCGATGACGACATCTCTGGCACTATGATTTTTATGGTACTTAATTTTTATAACTTTGACCTAAGCAGTTGCAAAAACCTTAGGCGTGACATGTTGTTTTGTTGTTTAGACGAATTAATAAAATCAATTTTTTATAACTTTATTCTTAAGTCAGTTCAATTTGGCTTAGATATATTTTATTACAGTTGTATTCAGATATTGTACCAAAAACGTGCGAGAATTTCATGCGCCTGTGTAAAACAAAGAAAGGAGGTTATGCCGGTACACCTGTTCATCGGATAATAAAGGACGGTTGGATACAGTGTGGTGGATTCAATTTGAAATCTACCCACTTAGACTGCGAAAATTTTATAATACCTCATGATAGACGCGGTGTGCTATGTATGGCTAATGATGGCAGGTAAATAATAAACTTCGAAAAAACACCACAGCAAACAGAATATAGCTAAGTAAAAGATTCTCAATAAAACAGTATTTAGGGTTCTAATAAATGTTATAGGCATAAAGAGTGTTCAACTCAATTCTTCGTTTTATTACAACCTGCACCTTGGATGGATCAGAGATATGTCGCGTTCGGACAACTTGTTGACGGTGAAAAGACATTACAAAGGATTGAAAATGTGCCCACTTGGTATGAGAGTCCGACCATAAAGATTACTATTTCCCATGCCGGCCTCCTTAACCTGCATTGTCAAGAGTTGGTTGTTTGTAAAGGGATTTATGAATATATCCAAAACCATATTGAAGATAATTATGAAATCGCTGATTATCTACGCGAAGTAAGTTACTCAAGTTTACTAAAGGACAACGATGACAGACCCATAACGTGTCATAATGAAATAAGTTCAAGTTTCACCTCTAGAATTCTAAAGATAATTAAAAGGAAGTTCGATGGAAATTTTCCTCGTTTACTCAAGTTATTCAAATATTAATGTTTTATTACAGTTTATAATAAACACGCTGTATGTTGAACTTGATGACATAGCTCTCGCTCGACAAATGGAAGAACAGGAAGGAGAAACTGAGGATCGTACGAATGTTCGAGAAACGAAAAGGTTACATCGATCTTACTAATATTATAAATGCGAATGTTTGGATGGATGGAAATTTGCTTGAAGGTACCTCCAGAACGGCGGAATTCCGCTGAAATTCGGCATAGATGAAGATAGTCTGGAATAACACATGGCTACTTATTAAGTTTTTTAATACCGCGCGGCAGAGACGCGTGCAACGGCTAGTAACAATAATATTCAAATCAAAGGCCGTAAATAAATATTTATTTCAGATTTATACGTAAGAAAGAAGACATAGAGAAACAGCTAAAGAAAGGACAATCAGCTAAAGATGACACTGAATCAGTTAGCGATGAATTAGAGGATTTCTTTGTAGAGGGCTACGAATCGACAAATCCCTACAATACGGAGGTGGGGGAGGAGGAATCAGGAAAGCCAAGCTCATCGTTTGAAAGGCCAAAGCAACTATTTTACTTTCCTTTAGCAGATGTACCTTATCCTGAAGAAATTAGTTCTACACACGATTTAAAGAAGTTAGTTTGTAATAATTTTTTGTTTTCCTTCGTTAATTGGTTTCCTTTTTTACGTTTATAAGTGCGAACGTACAGGGGGTACGTTTAATATAATGTATAATTCTAGGTTTATTAAAGGCCATTATTGTCTTGAATCGGACCTTTTAAAAGAAACGCCAAAGAAGGCGGCTAAGCAGCATGTTGTGTCGTATGCTTCAGAAATTTTTCAATTCGTCCCGACTAGTGAATCGGAAGACATGTCAAGTATAATGTTTAAAAATTTGTTTTCGTATTTACTTATATACTAATGCTCACCCATTGATCGAAATTCCACAATTCATAATCAGTTTTTTTTAAATAGCACTTCTCAACATTAACCTTGCATTAGTCTTGCTCCGAACTTCCAAATCAAATGCCGGGAACTATAAATCCAAAAATACCCAATTAAGTGATGATAACATATTTATTTATAGTGAGCTCGCTGGAGTCCGACGATGAAAAGGAAATCCGTAGATATATCAAGTAAAATAAATTATTTTTCATGTTTTTGACAAATTGTATTTGAAAATGTCTTTATTACAACAGATGAAATATATTTCAAGTAGTAATTATTATTATTATTTAGATTAAATGTTGACCGCGTGAGTTTCGCCGGCGATGTTGTTAGGGCTATCGCAAGAGGTGGCGGGAAATTAAACCTATTCGAAGGAGCCAGAAAGTAAATACTATTTTTTAATCATAGTGTAATAATTAGGGGTATTGTAGTACCAATAGCCATAGATTATTTATACTTTCTTACTTACTTTCAAGAGTGGTAGAACCCGCTTTAACATCTTCGCACGAATTGGTCAGGTTCGCCCGGTGAAATACCACCACCACACAGAAAACAGGCGTGAAGTGGAAGCAATTCCGCGTTTCGTCTGATGAGTGTGCGTCCCGGAGACCTAATTTAGTCCTCTTTCCCGTCCCACCCTTTTCTTATGAGGATGAGGATGGGAAGTGGAAGTGGACTTTCCGGATGAGAGGATGCATGGAAAGGGAAAATATTTTCTTTCTGTGCATCCTCTCCTCCGTCGATTAAAGGTAGGCAAGGTATATGCAATTGCGTATGTCTTTGGGCAACGGTCACTTCGCTACTTCAGCGATTTCAGGTAGCCGCTCGCTCGTTTGCCACCTTATGATATAAAAAAAAAACTTTGTTTTAATGATCATGATTTGAATATGAAATGTTGCAATATTTTTTTTCAACTTTATAGATCTGAAATTGTCGCTGAGGACAATGTTAGAAGATTCAGGTAAATAGCCCAATACAGAGATTGTCTTTACATATATAATATAATATATCTATTATTATTTAGTTTGAAATACATATTATTCATAAAGGATCCTAAAATATGGCATGATTTTAACGTTAAAAACATTTCGCTTTAAAAAAATACATTTTTTAACAATTTAAGTACAATTTTTTTTTAATTATCAATTTTTCTTCAGAGAAAGTTCGATAGAACGTCGGTTGAAAGAAGGTCGAGCAAAGTAAGTCAATTAATGAAATTTCATAATTATTATACATTAAAATTCATAAAAACTTTTTGGTAAAATATATTTTCTTTCTTTCTCAGAGCAGCAATGGATCATCGACCATCGGAAAATCAGGAAAAGTATTTGATTTCTTTTATTCGAAAACAAATCTTTTTATTCGTTTTTTTTTTTTAATTTTTTGTGTTTTTTTTTAGAAAAGTGTCTATAATTGTGCCTGACTTACCTCACGCTCAAATGAAGATTAAAAGGCGTCCTACAGGCTACCCCAGAGGGGAGCTCATCGATAAAACAATTTTAAGCAAAGATAGTGTAATAATACCAGAGGAGGAGGAGGAGTCAGTTGTGTCTAGGTGCTTGTCATAATTGCCTTTGCTAATGTATAACATACACAGCTTAATACTAAACAAAGTGATCCTATCCGTTCCGTTTTTTTTTATGAGGTACGGAACCCTAAAAAGACGATTTTTAAAAAGATGTGAACTATTCATAATCTGGTCATTTATCAGACTACAATTAGAACAGATTTAAGCACGGTGTCCTAGCCAACGTTCGTGAGCTTACAAGTTTGATTTCATATTAAACATTTGACTCGGAATTGATACTGTTTCAAACATGATCAAAGAGCAATGTGGTTCATATCCAAACTAGTTAAAGTCCACTCTGTACCCTGCTGGACATTAACGCACATTGTCTCTAACAGCTTAACAGGTCAACCGTTGGACTTCAGAAAGGTACGTATAGCTCCGACGGTGGTGTCCTCTGTAAAATCGACGAGTCGCCAGCAGCCAGTCACCACTGCGCAAACCGCGGACTCCGACTCCGAAGTGCGACGCCGCTCCGTGCTCACGCGACTCATGAATGACGTCACCACTATGGATCAGATCGGACCTACTCTTAAAGATTATAGGTATAGGCATTGTCATACACATATTGTCGTTACGCAGAATGCAATTTCAAAAACATAATTTTATATCAGATTGTCCAAGAGAATGACTGGGATGACATTATGTGTGGTGTGAATGCTTTAAAAGTGAAGTTCCACTTGCTGATACTAAGTTTTGAAGAATTTAATAATATCAATAATTTCTGTGTGTTTTATTTAAGACCGATGGCCGAAACGAAACAAGGGAACATATTATTGACGTTATCGAACAATTTCGATGACAAGGACGAAGACGAAAGGGGAAGATACATTCACCCAACATATAAAATCGAAACGGCATCTTTCGACCGAGTAATGAATATACAGCACGGTAAGAAAATGGTGCGAAAAGTCTCCTCAGATTATGTGAAGACTTTGGGCCAAATTGAACAGACTGTGGAGAATTCCATTCGAAGCATCGAGTTTGCTAAAAAGAGACCTTCTTTATCTGTGGCGCAGTATCAGAAGAAAAATCAATTGATGCGACAAAGTTTGAAGGAAATTAAGGTTGGTATAATTTTTTGACATTTTTTCATTAAGAAAGTTTTAATGCGACATAGATAAGTAAACGCACATCCATGAATCCGTCTCGGATTTATATTTGTTAGCTTCGCATGAGACATGTCTTGCCAGTCGAAAAAAACATCAACTGTAATATGTAAATAAAGTTACTGGCCGCGTTAAATTTTATGTAAATTATTTCTTTCTAACTTCAGGAAGATTCCTAAAAACAACTTTCAACGAGAAATCGAAAACTTTTAATTTTTGAAAATTGTACGTTTGTAATTGTCTTTTTATTAAATATCATGAAATTTTACTTTTGTTTTATTGTTCTTAACCTTAGGAGCCCTAAAATGTTGCTTACATAAAGTCGTGTAACATAAAATTTAAAAAAAAAAGACTTGGGTGATAATTAAAATACCAGCAAATAAATATAAACGTTATTTAATAACACTGAATCGCACATATAATTTGCCGTCACAACATTATTAATACTACTATAGGTACAATATAGTTACATCACCACAATGTCAACTTATGTATAGGTTGTTAGAGCTTCGCCGTGTATTTACATGTTATATACCAAATGTGCCCAAAACGCTTTATACAATATTTAAATACATAGATATAGTCAACACAAACCTTATTATTGAATTAAGTCAACAGAGGCACGAGAATTAGGAGAAAAATTCCTTTTACTCACTGATTTCAGCGTGATCAAGAGAGACAGTATCACTGAACATACAAGAATCACTTTATTTTATATACAAAGTATAAATTACTCTGTGGATTGTAGTCATAGCAACCATTTCAATAATTTAGAAATTTACGAATTATAACGTAAATTGTAGTTTCTTTGGTTAAGCCATAAAAAAATAAGAGGGTCCGACAATATGTTTTTATATTTCATATTGTTGTCTCTTTCTGATAAAATCGAGATTCTACGACTCATGTTAATAAATCTTCGCCGTAGAAAGGGATCAGAAACTAGGATATGTAAGCCGCGTATAAGTATCATGTTATTGTGCTCGGTTTGTATCTGCGCTGGATCATTTTAACACAACTAGTTATGAGTTACGTCATTGTTTTATCATAGATATAAAATACATTATTGTATCGCATGATAAGTATGGCACAATATTTGTTCATATCGACCGATCTATGTGTTTAAATATCAGCTTAAAACCAATCAGTCATGTCCTTTTACATACTAAGAGCTCCTTTTGTCAAAAACATATTCGAAACGGTTACATTTCCTACGTTTTTTTTTATTTACTTTTATGAAATATTTACTTAACAAATTGCACCTTAAACTATTAGAGTTGTAACCCACTTGCAAAAAATGTACAAAATGTTCAATATTGGCATTTAAACATTTCGTCTGAGAATTATATTTGTTGATATTTGTGATTGTTTAAATACAAATAATAATAAAAATATATTGAAAGAAGTTTACACTAAAATATAAATAACTTTAAATATACAAATAGTTTGACATAAGTGAATTATTTTTTATTTTATTTATTAAATGTACGTCATTTCATTTCGCTGTTAAAATGTCTAAAGATTTTTTTATTACAGAAACTATTGTTTTTGTTGCGTTTAAATATTAAAAAAATCGTAACTATATTATATTATTTTATGCAAATTTTAATTTACATGTATCAAAAAAAATCCAAAGCTAAACGTCTATAAAATGTATAATGTCGATTCTTTTTGATCACAGATGCAAAGTTGTGACTTAAATTTATAATTTACAAGAAGTATATAAAGTTTTATAAAACTAATTTAACGATTCATCGAATCTTAATATCTTATTAAAAATGGTAAGTAAGTGCAAGTGGGTTGCGACCCTAAATATTGCCTATTGCCTATCTAGTGTCCGTGGCCGTGTCCGTGACCGAACATGGGCAAAGCATTCTGTGGGGGCGGGGCTTCTGTGTTGTTGTTGTTATTATTGTTGGCCTCAGAGTTGCGATTCTCCAACTGTTGTTGCCACATCGTCGCGTAGAAACCGCTTTGTGCTAATAACGCTTCGTGACTGAAAACAATTTCATATATTCCATTGTAAAATCTCCAGGTTACCTAGCAATATTGAGTCTTATTTATAACTTAAATATAGTTCAAATTTATATGTCCATCTCATATGACATATAAGGTTATGAGGAGTTTAAAAAATTATCGTAATGCAAAAAAATTGCTGACACATCCAAGGATCGACATCAACTTAAGAGACATTTCCACTAATCTAAATATCGTATGTAATATCGTATATAAAGGTCAGTACTCACTTGCCCCTCTCAATGATCTCTCCCTCCTTGAGAACGAGGATCTCATCAGCGTGTATGATAGTGGACAGCCGATGTGCTATGATCAGTGTCGTCCGGTTTGCGCAAACGCGGGCCAGTGCAGCCTGTGACGTGATAAAGAAATATTTAATTACTAGTTCCGTTATCCTATTCAGGCAAAGAATCGAATTTTACCTAACTCGTTAAAATCGACTCTGCCGTTAAGACTTTAGGCGACCGCAATGGACATTCGCGTACAGTCAGGGACTTTCGCGGTGTTCCACTTACAGAAAAAAAGCTTCTTCCTTACAACAAAATAAACTCCGCTATTTTTTACAGATTAACCAATTGGAAACTCATTAGGTACCAGTGAGTTGCGCAAACGATGACATTGACATGCGGCGCTTTATTGTTTGTCGTTTTCACGTCGTCATCCCAATGAAACATTTAAAGGACTCCCGCTTTAATTTAAAGTGGAATACCGCCAGATTCCCCGATGTTACATAAAAATTGTTAAATGAGAAATAATAATAGTTATATATTCAGAGACCTGTATGTTCCTCTCCGTGTTGGTGTCGAGCGCAGAGGTGGCCTCGTCCAGCAGCACTATGGCGGGGTCCTTCAGCAGCGTACGCGCTATCGCTATCCTCTGCTTCTCGCCGCCGCTCAGGCGCAGCCCTCTCTCTCCCACCTGTTCATTGTTACACAACAATGAAGAAGATAACAATAATATCAGACCATCCAAAAAAACAAGCAAAGCAAGAGTACGAATCCAATGACACTAGACTCGTCGAAAACATAAAAAATTATTTTTCGGAGGTTACCTGAGTATCGTAAGCGTCTGGGAATGTTAGGATCCTGTCGTGAATGTCAGCATTCTTGGCGGCAGCTATGACGTCAGAGGTCGGCGCGTTTAGTCGTCCATATTGGATGTTGTATCTAAAACAATATTTACTATTAAATAACTCATAATATATACTGAAAATAAAATATAGAATCCATAACAAATATTTCTACTTTATTTGTTATATTATGTATTTATTATTAAACTACAAAAAGTGCTACTCCATCTTAGAAATTGATTAAAGGTAGGCAAGGCATCTGCATTTGCGGATTTCCATTGGCAGCAGTCGATTCGCTATTTCGGCGAAATTATATTGCGAGAAACTTGCTCGTTTGCTTCCTTATAATAAAAAAATCATACCTGACAGTGTTATTAAAGAGCACAGTATCCTGGGGCACGACACCGATGTTCCTGCGCAGCGAGGCCTGCGTGACGCTGCGCACGTCCTGTCCGTCCACCAGCACCGCGCCCTCGTTCACATCGTAGAAGCGGAACAGCAGTCGCATTACTGTCGATTTACCTGCACCACTTGGTCCTACCTGAAGACATATACGCTCTTATTGTGGCTTTATATGATTAATTCTCTTTAAAAGACAGATATATAATCTTACTAATATTATAAATATGAATATTTAGATGGATGGATGTTTGTTAGAAGGCATGTCCGGAACCGGCGCATGTATCTCTCTGATATTTGGCATAGACGTAGAACGTAGTCTGGAAGAACACATAGACTACTAATTTCGTTCTTTTTTATTTGCGGTTGGAGTCGCGGTCGACAGCTAGTGATTTAATACAGCAGCAATGAAATGTCAAGGTCACTTTACTTCCGATGGGAGCTGAGACTAAGAAACTATGGCAAGGAGATATCTTGCTGACGATGTAGAAGTGCAATTAAGACAAAAATAAAATAATAAATGATCAATGCAATAATACATAATTGGTGCAATAAGTAATGTCATTAGTGTTTATATAGATGTAATACGTAACAAGCAAATAACAACGATGAGCATACGATGGAAACGACATGAGATCTAGTCAGAAAACCAGAAATGAGCAAACGAGCGAAGCGAGTCCTATAATGGCATATTAAAAAATATATAATTGCAACTCAAGAGCTTGTGAATGAAAAAACAAAAGAAAGTAAACAAAAACAATCTGACTACGATGGCTAAAATGAATTAAAACGAGAGAATATTCTCGAATATGTTATAAGCAGGTCGACCAGAAAGCATTAGAAGCAAATTTACAATTATTTACAATGGCAACACTAGTAAAAAAAATAGACCAATGCGACAGTAGATCCTGGTGCGACGCGGAAGCTGACGTTGCTGAGGACGAGCCGCTCGGGTCCGTAGCCGAAGCTGACGTGCTTGAACTCGACACCGCCGCGCCGCACCGCCAGCTCGGGCGCACCCGGCGCGTCACACACGTCCGAGTCTACGCGCATCAGCTCGAACATGTTCTCCATGTCCACGAAGTTCTTTTGGATAGCTCTACGGACCAACATCAGTCAACCGATCACGATGAGTATGATTCGTTTTGATCCAACGTAAGATTTTAAACAGAGAAAAGTCACAAGGGTATAAAATAAGGGAGTTTTTAAAAGAGTTTTAGTGAAAACTGTTCCGATTGTCTATTGTAATAACTACTAGCATACTCAAAAAAGAATAAAAAGAGTACTGAAACTCGAAAAGCATAATAGAGTTTAGCTATCGCTCATAGCTCCCGATATTACGACGAAATACTAACATCTTTACAACTGTGAGGTCAAGACACTATCGATTCGTTCATTAACCGATTAAAAGTCTGTAATTGTGAATCATAAAACCAGTTTAATATGTCAAGTTCCCTGATTAATTAAAAAAGGTGAATAAAAATATATAACACAATAAGATAAAAATTAATTACAGTTGTAGTACAAATTAGTTCATAAGTAAAGTAATTATAGTGTCAAGATGTTAGTATAATTGAATAAAATAAGAGTCATGCCTTACAATGAGGCAGAGATAAAGCACAAGTCGTTTGTGATATACAATTTTGTAGAGTATATATATTCTTCTATTTTCGGTGCAATAATATGTATTTCTTACTCTTTTTTATTTAAGAAAATTCTTCAAAAGAAAAGAGACAGATATATCTAAGTTTGGTACTTTTAAGATTATTGGAGATTTACTAGCCAATATCTATACATATTAATAAATTAGGTAGTCTGTGTGTATTATCGAGAAAAAAAACTTATTTTATACACGTGGTATATGTGTGATGCTTATAACGAAACAAATTTTTTGTCTGTCTCGCGTTTGTTCCGGGTAATCTCCGAAGCGGTTGGACCGATTTTGACGGGTTTTTGACGGGGAGGTAGCTGACGCATGCAGGTATGTTATAGGCTACTTTTTTTTTAATTCTATAAGAAATATCGATATGGGAACGAAGTTTTTCCACTCACCTATAATAAGTGCCGAACCAGTTAAGCGGTACGTACAATTGTACGATATAAGAAGCGAACAGTACGTAATCACCGACTGTCAACTCATAAGTTTTGACCACCATGTAAACAGCCAAAAGCGACCCAGCCAATAGACCTGGAAAATATATCTTCGTTATCTTAGAACTAAGTTGAAACCAACAGATTTTTTTTTTAATCTTACTAATATTATAAATACGAATGTTTAGATGGATGGATGTATGTATGAATGGATGGATGTTTGTTTGAAGGTATCTTCAGAACAGCCCAACGTGTCTTGATGAAATTTGGCACAGATGTAGAACATAGTCTGGAAGAAGATTTCTCTCGGACAGAGTCGCGGGCGACAGCTAGTTAGGAACAAAAAAAAGTGCAGTCAAAGTATCTAAATTAAGTGAAATAAAAAATATTTATCACTAACCTCCACAAATTATAATATTTTGCAACGTATTTAACATGTTTAAAGTTATTAGGGATTTGAATTCTTCTCTCTAAAAAAAAAAACATAATTATTATAAACACGATATTCTAAATTATTCAAGAACTCTATTTTTTTTCTATATTCCATTCATCTCTATGTTAGCTTTTGTTTTCTACGAGATCTTGGTACTTTAATCGATCGAAGAATACGGGATCAAAACTATTCCGAATATTACATTTAAAGCCATTAAATGACTTACTTGATAATTAACAATCGCTTCTCTATAGGACACAACCTCGTACCCTTCCGCGCCGTAGTATTTCACAGTTTCGTAATTCAAGAGGGAATCAACAGAGCGCGCTTTCTGTTCGTTATCGGCCAAGTTCATTCGCCGCTGGAACTTCGTACGCCATTCCGTCACCATTATTGTCACAACTAAAAAAAAAATAGCAATATATTGTGAATTTCTGAGACTAAAAACACCTTTTAAAACATATTGTTATCTCTGTTTGATCTCAGAAACCGACGTTAAGTGATTTAATTTAAATTTGTACCTAATAATTCTAGTATCAATCAAAATCGATATGATTAAATAATTTAATGAAATTGAAGCATCATCATGATTAGCTTTTGCCTGTTCTGTGCTATAAAAATTGCCGCATAATAATGAATGAGCAATATATTAATTTGAAAAAAAAATACCTACCAATATAAAGTACCATAGTGGAGAATACAATAAGTCCGAACCAAACATTGAATTGTGTGATGAAGTACACAACAGCGACCACAATATCAACAAGAGTTGGTGTTATAGAGAACAAAATGTATGAGAGGAGATTGTCTATGGAATCCGTGCCTCGGTCCATCACTCGCAGCACTTCGCCGGTCTTGCGAGATAAGTGCCATTTCAGAGGCAAATCGTGAAGATGCCTGAAAAGCTCTAGCTGAAATAAAATTATTTTCATTAAGATTTAATAAAGTAGGTAAATTTAAATTTCTATCACATAAACCCTAAAGGCGTTGGATTCTCGAGGGATAAGCACTTGACTTGTTTGATTATGGCCTTATCACACCTAAACTAGCGTAGTCTACGAGTCCCTCAGTAGGGATTTATAGTGTGCTGACGATGAAACAGATAATTTTTGTAGTAATTGTTACAAATTGTAAAAAAAAAGGATATCATTAAGAAACTTTTTTAATTTAATACAATTGTTCTGTTAATTATCTGGCATATCATCATGAGCTGCATTTAACACAAATCGCATTACACATGGCTGAATAATTAACAGACAATGAATGACGAGGTTATTGTTTAGACTCATCTTATCGCATATGTTCAGGATACGTTAAAGTAGTAATAAATGAATATCAATAACAATACGTCATCCTCGATGTCAATTATTTATCTTACAATTATAAATGCGAATATTTGGATGGATGGATGTTTGTTTGTAGGTATCTCCAGAACGGCTGTATGAATAAAGCTGAAATTTGACACATACATATTGAACATAGTCTGGAAGGCTACTTATTTAGTGTTTTCCATGTTACAAGGACGGAGTCGCGGACGACAGCTAGATAACTATAATTCATTTATCATGGCGGCTCTTAACTTCACGCAACACGACTTTAGGTATAGCCAAAGGCCTAGAGCCGCCAATATATTTGAAAAGTGTTATATCATAAATGCGTGACTTCAATACATTTTCAATCACCGCGTACATGTCAAAGGAATTTTGCCATATTTAGGAGACATACGTGACGATGTCAGGAACGATAAGACTATATACAAATTGTTTATACTGTGATAACATTTATTTACACACGTTCAGTGATATCCGTGGGTGTTGTAACAACTTTCTATCTTAAATGTTTACGAAATAATTCACCGTATCATTTTAATCAATGAACTCAATATTATGTAACCTTAATTAACAAGTTATTTTGTTACAGCTACACTTAAATATGTAAATTATCTCTTATTACATGCTCGTGGTTTTAAGGAAATACATGAGATATCAGGTGACCCAGTAAATAAACCTTAAGACGACATATCAACACAGACAGATCAAGGATGCGAGGTAATCGCGCACCCGCCAAAGTTGAACTATCGTGGTTTTGCATTTTTAAACTAATATATATATCATATCTTACTTACTTAATTCGACATAGATGTAGAACATAGTCTGGAAGAACACGTTGGCTACTAATTATGTTTTTTTTTAACTTCGCACAGACAGAATCGAAGGCGACAGCTATATGCATAATATCATTATCGTATATTTAAAATCTTTAAAATTTCTATGACCTAAAATGAAATATATCAAAACACAGTAACACGCTGGTTATTTAAATCGATCTTTATATTAATTCGGTCCAGTCCGTAATTATCAAAACATAACTGCAATCACGCATTTTAATGCAGATTAAAAACAACGTGATAAGGTTAAAGGTTAGTGGAATGGCGGTTTAAAGTCCGGAAAAAAAGATAAATAATATGGTATGTTATTACTAATTTTGTCTAGAAATTTGAATACCTAAAGATTTTTTTTATCTCGAAACTCGCTTGTATTGAGTACCTCCAAAGATAACACATATTTTGCTCATATTTTAAACATTTAAACTGTTAGGAAGAAAATCCGACACTGTGCCGGTGTACTGGCGCAACGCGCCTTACTAAAACGTCTCCAAAAAACATAGTACTTGTACCACCACTCTTTGCCAATGCATCTAATATTTGTAACAGCGAGGTCGATGTCAATCAGTAGTACTATTAAGATAAGCCACAATTAGCAAACCATGCATGATTTAAAAGATGTAAAAAAATCTGATAAGATTAACAAAAATACGTGACATAATTTACACAACTAATGAAATTGGAGTAACCGCATGTAATGTCGAAAAAAAATTATATATATCGTAAACATAATTGCATGGCTTTTAACGGAAATCATATTTTAAAAAAATCTGTTTGTTCCGGGTAATCTCCGAAACAGTGGGACTTTCACTGGAAAATAGCTTATATGTGTAAGAGTAATTTGGCACATTTTTATAATTCAGAGCTGACGCAGTTGAGGGCGAGTGCTATGTATTGCAAATATCGCAATATCCATTGATGCTACATTATATCGTACAATGATAGTTTGCTATACGGGATTCACTTTCCTATTTCTCGTATCATGCAGTTAAAGAATTAAATTCGCTGCCCACGTGAGATTCTTTGATATCTATTTTATTCTACTACTATTCTCTATCCGACTCTAGCCAGGCAGTTTAACTTAGCTGTTCATGCTACTTATCCTATGAGTAAATTTCAGTCTTACCTGCAGCTCTCTTGTGGTGTACTGTTGCACTTTAATCCATAGAAATGATCGGAGATTATTCAAGAATCCCATACCCCCAGTGCCGCCGCCTTGCAGAAACTTGAAGAACACATATATCACGACCAGATCCCATCGATACGACTGGGGCACTGCCAAACTATCCACTGGAATACAAAATGTATACCTTAACATCGACCTTAAATCGACTTCCTGACATGTTAACAATCATCATCTTCCTGTTCTATTCCATCATGAGGTTCGGCATTGTAAATACACTTCCATACTTCTCCAACAGCAGTAATCTAAAGTTACTGCCCTTATGTACACTTCACACAATTAATCCATACTTTCTTCGGTCTTCCTCTATCTTTCCTTTACATACCACGCTGGGTAAATTAACAATGTCTCATTTCCAGGGTTCCGTACCTCGAAAGGAAAAACACGGAACCCTTATAGGATCACTTTGTTGTCCGTCCGTCTATCAAGACCCTTTTTTAAATACATATGTCTAGTTTACGGTTTTAAAACAATACTCTTCTATCCATTTCCCAGAGATTACAATGAAACTGGGAATAGGCTTGAATTCATCAATGTATTTCTTAATTTGTATTCGCATAACTATCTAGTGTAGTGTGTGTGTGTAATTTTTTAAATTTCTTATCCATTTTATTGCAACAGATAATATTATCAGAAGTAATAACAAAGAATTCGTTATTTGTATTAAATATTTTCATGAGAAGTTCCGTGTTTTATCGCAACAGTCTAAATAATTAAGTTCAAGATATAAGTAATGAATGCTTTGCATTGATCATTAACAATCAAGTCTATAGAAACATGACTAACGTTATGCTGGTCTATTATTATACTAGTACTTAGGTCCTTCATATACAAAGCAATGCAATCTTCGCGCAAATCATTGACATCTCTCATCGACAAAACCAGTCCCTCGCAACCTATTTATCAAGATCATCGTGAGAAAATTCACTGTAATTTTTTAAAGATGGCGAAGCAAATCTATAATCGCGTGCTACGCGATTCTCGCAAAACAACCATACTTTACTTTCAAAGATTTACGTTGCCTTGTACAAAGAGCCTTAGCCTTAAGGCTTCTCAGATTGAACCTACACTAAGAAACTTAGCGACTCATAAATTACAGAGTTCGGAAGTTTGTGGTCCCTGGATTATTTCATTTCATATTACTATCTTACTATAGTGCAAGAAAGAAATATGACAGCGTGAACGTACATAATTAAATTATAAAACTGTAAATATCTGACCAAATTTTAAATACAGGAGACCTAATGGGAATAAGCAAAAATAATTATAGCTAAAAAAGCGGTACATACCTATTTTCTTATTATAAATGGGTACATAAAGGTTGATAGCTCGTCCAGCGACCAAGGCCAGTATACATATCATCACGTAGAACTGCAGCTGCAGAGATTTGCGCGGCCACAGAAACGGCAGAAGCGTACGCAGCTTGCCGAATACATTGCGGAACGTCGATCTGTTGTCGTCCTGCGAGTATGGATAGTAAATCATTTATCGTACGATCCACTACATCTCGATAGCATAGTAATACCTTCTTAATATCTTTCTCACTCGATACTACAATTATATAATTTTGATAAGGACATGACATCTTAACCTATAAGTTGTGATACATAATCTGTGTTTCTTTTTTCTTCTAAAGATTCGTCTTTATTGAGCAAAGAGTTTCAATATGTTACAGTTATAAAATTGCATATTATAATGATGACGAAATTCAATTAAAATAATTATAATTTACTTTATTCATGTTAAATAAATAAAGGCAAATATTTTTTCCAATTTTATATTAATCCTATTTTTTTTATCATTATATAATTAATAAATTTAATGAAATATGCAGAGGAATTGACACCGGAAACGTGAAATACCGACGAAAATAAAATACACTTTAAAAACCGTAAATTAGCTTAAACAAAAATGGTAATCTTTCAAAAGTTTACCCGTTTTTCTTGGGGATTATAATGTATCAATTGTAGAGAATACAATCTTGATTATGGCGTACAAACATTTTATAATTTATTTATTTAACAGTCACAACTGATAGCCTGTTCTTAATAAGGCTTCTGTAGTATTTAACATATGAATTACATAATTAAGATAGAATGCGTGATTGTAGGAACATTACAAGATATGCGTAAAAGACGAGAAAAGAGGGAGAAAGCGATATTTTTTTTGTTTATAATAAAAATGGATGTAAATGAAATTTGTAAACAAAATATTACAATATGTTTTTATAACACTATTAATAAAATTTGTCCCTTTATATACAAAGTATAATACTATTCTAAAAAAATTTATTTAAAAGATAGTACATACCCTGGGCGGAATATTGCGCTGAATACCATTATCATTATCTAGATATTCAAATGGATGCTGAATGCCTGGAGCTTTCATTCCAAGAATAAACATGATCATACATGAAACATATCTTCCAACAAATAGAGACATCTCCAAACGATCTTGTAAACTGAAAAAAATACATAAGACTAATTTTGCCGCACTGTTTTTTTGGGGAATTACGTGTAAAACAACGCTAATGCCATTGCTGACTACAGAATGAAATAAGAGTCATGTGTTTAGCAATTTAATAGTAATAATTGTTTAGAGTCAAGATTTACCTTCAAAAATATTAATAATTTATCTTCTTTTACTTCACTTAAAAATGTATTTAAATTTGAATAAATTACAATAATTATATATACAAACAGATTCTTACTCTCTGAGATGCCACCACCATCCTTTCTTATTAAGATTCAAGAATGATAAGTTTTCTGACACAAATATCATAGCCCAAAAAATAAGTAGCACAAATCCATGGGCTCTGGGAGGTAGAGATGGTAACAGGTAACTTCTTTCTAATACCGCTAAATAAGCTGATAACGGAAACACAACTAAGGTAACCACTAAAGCTAAAATCTGAAACCAACAAAAAAGTTTTAAATCTCACTCACAACAGCAAGAGAGAGAGAGAGATAAAGATATAAGGAAAGTTAAGAGATAGTAAGAAGACATACTAAAAAAAAGTAGTAACATTATTACAGCTTACCATATAACCATAAATATGCCCTCCTTTAAAAACAAATGCTTGTAAAAGGAATCTTATCACAGCTAAAACAGGTATAAATAAAGTGAAAAACAACTGTACAGCAAACCACTTTGATGGTCTGATATCAACCACTTCCATAGCATATCTGAAAGAAAAATATACTTTTATAAATTGTCAAATTAGAGGATAAACTAAATTTGCATATAAGCCTAATAAATTTACTGTGATTTTATTTAATTGCGTTTATCTATGTTGGTATCTCTTTTAAGAAAAAACATAACGATAATCAATCATTAAGCAATTGGCCATTGATTATTTTATGGGGGTCAAGAAAATCTATAAATACCCTTATCTTGGAGAATAATAAAGAAGAGATAATACCCACTTTATTTTGTATTATGTAAAAAAAAATTGGTCATGTCAGTCTCATATTACTTTTGGTGTAATGATTCATTTCTAACACACATATAGTTGAAATCATTACATACCATCAAGGGTTATAATATATCATAACATAAAGAGAATGAAAGTATTGACTATGCTTATGTATCTGTATTTTAGCAATACAATTTAACGTTATATGGTTCAGTATAAGGTTCTGTAAATCGTATAATTTAAAAACACAATTTTCAAGACTAACCGTTTATACATAACTATTTGGAACGTGCCAAACGCGAGTAGAAATCCTCCAATGAAAACGGCAGAAGCCGTTTCCATAAAGCATTGCGATATTCCATGATCCACCCAAATTTCAGTCAAGGTCACGTTTGGTGGACAGTACTCCATTGCGCCGACAAACCTGGAAGTTTCACAATACTACACAATTCTTACTCAATTTGCATTGTCTCCATTCCAATACAAAAATTTTTGTTTTACTACGAGAGTAATTTGAATTGCAATTTGTCGCGATTTTAAAAACGTTTTGCATACGGAAGGAACCGAAAACGCTTGTAACGTTTATACATACACGCAGTGAGTTGCCGTGCGCCAATCAAGTATATATTAAACTATACGTATTATTATAACATGTAGCACCACAACCGACACGTTTGATAAGTAAAAATGATATAATGTTATCAAAATATCATAATCACGGTTTAATTAATATCTGACATATGACAGCTTTTTAACATCAACAAGAATCTCTGACAGATGACAGATAAGCAGAATGACATTATTTCTGTCAACTGTCACTGTCTCACTTGTATTTTGTCTACAGATTGTATATGTAGATATGTATTTATTGTTATCATTGGTGAAAGATTTACTTTCTGATTTTACTAAAACTAAAAAAAAATAATACCTCTTATAATAAATTCGATAAGTTCAGAGTAAAGGCATGAAATATTACAATTTACATAATCAAAAATATAAGATCGACCAACGTTGAATGCATAAAAGTGGATATAGATAAAGAATTTAATTATTCCGTTTAGGAATTTGTAGAAAAGACAGTGAGAAATTTTGTTTTGCTGCATTTTGAACTATCTTTTCGTTAAACCTCACAATAAAATTAAAAAGAATTTACTTTTCCTAAATTACCTTCGTATGATTTATTCTGTACCAGTTCAGTGTTGTGTGTTTAAAATATTATTACCCAAAAGCCAAAAGAGTTTTTCTGTGTGATGAAAGTCAATGAAGTGAAGTGACGGATCGTAGACGGGTGATGGCGGATTTAGTCGGTCGTTTTAGTTATCGTGTTTTTCTAATATGTTTATATTCGTGAATAAGGCGAAATAGTTATATCTCGTAATTAATTCAAATGATTTTCCTTAAGAGTTACTCCGTGCGCCCTTATGTACAATTTACATTATTATGAGAATGGATTTAACCCAATCCTCATCAACAAATGGTGTAATAAAGCTGTGAGCAGTCGTCATGTGAAGAAGGTTATGACTTTAATTTGGAAGTTTAGTCAGTGTTAAAAACGTGTTTTTGTTGTGAACGAGTGGCGCGTATTTCTCTGGTAAAGAAGATAAATTAGTATCAAAATGGCGGACCTCGAAGCAGTACTGGCCGACGTCAGCTACTTGATGGCAATGGAGAAGTCAAAATGCACCCCTGCTGCCAGAGCAAGCAAAAAGATCATATTACCAGATCCAAGGTAATACCGCCCCTCTGTATGCGACCCCTTGTTAAATGTCAATGTTTACACTTCAACACTACCTCGACTTGTTTACAAAAGTCATCATCTTATTAGATGTTTGTTTCTTCTATAACGTTTCCCTTATTATGTATAAAGTGACGAAAACTTATGAAGTAATTATGAATGCAGCAATTTCTAAGAAAAATAAACTGACATGTCTGATAATAAAGATAGTGAGCAAAAAATGAGATCATAGGAAAATATACCTTTTTTTAAATTGTATTAATGTATTCTTTAATAAAAATACAAACAATTATAGATTCTGCACTTAAAATAAAAATAAAAACTTTAATGTACTTTTACTACAATTTTTCCTTTATCATAGACACAAAAAAAAACAGTAATATATTTTAACAAATTATTGAATTCAATAACCAAAGCAATTGTTTATTAGTTTAATATTTTAAGCGAAAACTTTAAAAAAATTGTGCAAAATGATGCACATGAAATTTGACACAAAGTTAATGCGAAGAAGAAATATGTAAACCTATATTTATTTATTACCCCTAAATAAGGATAGGCTCCGAGCCCCTCGGTGGGGACATATAGTGAGCTAATAATGATGATATTTATTTAAAATAAAAAAATCTTTATTATGGTAGAATATTGACCAATGGGCGGTTGCCCACATCTTGTGGACACAGATTTAATTACATGGTGGGTAAAAAAATTAATTGTTTTATTTGCTAAGAAACAATTGGCAGCTTTCACTATTTTAATACATTGTCTAATCCTACTAAACCTATTATTTTTTATGGTTATTACTCCATTAAGAAACTTTGTCTAAAATTATAAGATGCTTTGCTGAACAATGCATAAACAAGGAAATGAGATTGTTTAAAACAATTGTAGTCAAGATGTATTCCATTTGGTGTATTATTTAATGCCATATTTTAAAATGAACAAACATTGACCTGTGCCACTGCAAGCCTCTACAAATTTACCTATTGGACAAAAATAGTTTGAGAGAACTTATAAGACACTCTTTTCATTAAATGTGTCAAATAGCCCTCATATCACTTCTAGTTTCTTATGTTTGTTCCTTAAAATCTAATAGGAATTTTACCGAAAAGATTATAGCTTGGTAATTATTCAATAATTATAAACATAAGGATAAAAGCTATTATGTATTTGTTTTCTGGTATTTATAATAATTAAATATGAATATGAATTAATAAGGAAAGATATTTAATGAGGGAAACTACTAAATAATTAATGATAATGGCAATGGCTACAACAAAAGTGGAAGAACAAAAAATGAATGGGTTCATTGTATAATAGAGGATATATGATGATATATAAAAAAGATTGAAGTCAGATTTGAATGTTGATAGAGATTTATAGAAAAGTAGTACTTATAGGCAAAATGAGAGGAAGTAGATGATGAATTAAAGATTTAGCATTTTTTACACATAAAAATAAGCTAATCTATCCATTGTTTATTATTACATTTATCTATTTATGCAAATCTTTTACAATACATCACCATCTTATACAATAAAATTCAAAATTAAGTAGTTTTGATGGGTGTTTAACATTTCGTTGCTTCATTCCATTAAATCAAAAAAATATTCCCATCATGCTGTTTAATTGGTTGGTCGACCAGTCCAGCGGCCTTTATGTATTGTATCTCAGGCCTCATATGGATACATTCTGTCCAATGGAAATTTATTAAAATACAAATTTGTCAGTTTGTTATATAATAATAATATTTATTTATTTACTTCAGGTAACATTTGATATACATATATGTATATGAAAATGATTGAATTCTTAAAAAAAAATCGTAGCTTTGTAATGATACATTCGTAAATCTAATTACTTATTTTTCACTTGCTGCCAGAGCCCTTACAGTTATTAAAAACAAACATTCGCAACACAATCGACCTAATTGTCTAGTGGTATCGGTGCGTTGAATAGCGCAGATATAATAGACGTGACACTTACTATATGTTTAGTATCCTGTTCCGACGGTCGCTATCGTATCGGGATCGCAGCGGGGGATAGATTCCTCAAGGTTCCCCGCTGTTAGGGATTAATCTCTTCTATGAACTAACCACATGCTTACACTCACATTAACACTGATACGAAAATGTGCTGGCTTGACAAGGGTGATTTTTTTCAGAGTACGTAAATAATATTCGCTCAATTATAGCCTAAATACTGGAGAGATTATGAAAGAGGTGTCATTTAATTTACTTAACCACCCGTATATAATACGCTATTTAAAATTTGCAGTTTTACCCACGTGTATTAAAATAATACGGGTAAAGATATTTATTAATTTAATATTAATCATCGTTAGTGTACATGTAAATTCCATTGAGGTTGATGTCATGGGCGTATGTAGGATTTTAGTAATAGCAACGAAAATGTATTTGATGCACGACTCGTTGAAGGATATAATACAGTCGGCGTGGCGCCACCGCCGTATGACTTTCGTATTTCTTTTAATATTTACACACAGATAAATTATGCTTCATGTTTTATACCAACAATTTTTCACCCACGATTTGTAGAGATTAAAGGAAAAAGAGATAAATACGGTAGTTAGAAATGTTACATCGTCATATTGTATCTAAGGAAAAAAATCTAGACATAAACCAATAAAGTACTATGCTATTAAACTGGACAAAATACCAAGATCTAGATCCAGACTATTGAATATCTTTACTTGTGATAACTTTTATATATTCTATTTTTGTTTCCATTAAGTTTTGCGACGTGCACTAGGAACTTGTGCGACTGGAAAACTCATCGAATATCGAGATGCTTTCTCAAAGGCGGGTATCAATATGTCATTTACATTCAGTGTGGAGCTGACTTTATAAAATAACATTCCGTAGAAGTTGTACGTCTCTTGAATTTCAAGTCCCCGATGCGAAGAATATTCAATCCGAACCAAATACTCTTGTGGATGTGCGCCATTTTAAACTTATTTTGTCGCAAACATCGACTTTTGCTTAGACTTTATAGACGAACTTGTAAAGTATCGTGTCCTTCGAAAACTTGCACTGCGAAGTGCTAAAAAGTTTCATATTTTGACCAATAGTCTGTAATTTATTAGTAGCTTTGGCGCGACGATATTTTTACGTTAGAATTTTGTTTGTTAAAGAGAAGAGATCCAGGCGATTGACCATTAATGTTCAAGAATGACTAGGGGATATTAAAACATTTTAAACATGAAAATACAATGTAAAACTTAATAACATTGTAGGGCATCAACTTAAAAAATGAAATGTATATACGACAATGTTGCGCCCTACATTGTTGTACTTTGCTTGATTATACAAAAAGCTATGAATATAACATGTGGTTAGTGTGACACTCGTGTAATATTTTATTTAGCGACATCACAAAACTCAGCCCGCACAGATGTTTACTAAAACCATTTGCTTTTAAAGGACATTAAAAATATTTGAACAGTTTTAATTTAAAATATAAACTAACCCATGTTAAGTGTTAATTGTGATAAATACCAAATGTTATATAATTATTTAACTTGATCATGGTCAAACCGCGACCGCGTAAGTCTGTAGTCTCTGCTTACCCCTCTGGTTACGGGCGTGAATGTTGTTAATCATAGTTGTTTGTAAAGCCGAGCATAACGTTAGGGAAAATAACCCTTATAAAACTTTGCTGCAGGAAGTGAATAAAAATAAGATAAAACAATGTATGGAATTTAAATTGGCTTCCGAGTTTCATAGACATTGTATTCAAATTAAAGCCTTTGTTTCTGTTGGGCGCTTTTACCTCGTCGCGTCGCTACCGCGGCCGCGTGGCTTATGTTATTTGCCTGGCTTGGCTTTTTTGCTATTTCAGAATAGTCCAATGCTTACGTAAAAATAATTGGCTTTATTTTCAAAATATGTTTTTAAAGCTTTTAAAATTGGTTCTCATTTATGAAAATAAACTTTTATTTGCCTAGTCAAGAAATTCATATATTTTAAATCACCCGTTACTCTGTTTAAATTTTACCTATGTGAGTTAACTCGATTTTTAGAAGTATATGCAAAAAATGAATCTGAACACCTTTTATAAATCAATCGATGAAAAATTACGACGAAAATATAACATAAATAAGGTTTCTTAGATTATGAAAAAAGCTTTTATTGACGGTACGTCAATATTTAAATAGCAAGGTTTATGAACGTTTTAATTAATACGGGAATTTCTAAAGATTTTTCCCCAAAGGAAATTTTTCTTAAGTATTAATTAACTCTTTGCTTTCCTTTTATTATAAATAACGGTGTGTTTACTTTAAAACAAACCTATAATGTTTTTATAAGTGACTATAGAAAATTAGGACATAAAAAACTAAAGATATATTGGTCCTCACGGTGGCGTAAGGATATCTCGTTTGTTTTTAAATTCTAAATTAAAAAAATAAACAGACTATTGTAAATAAAATTTGCGCTGATCAAATTGTCAGTCCCGAATTTATATGCAAAAAAAGATTGAAGTTTTCTAAAAGACACTTTTGAAACAGTGAAACAAACAAAAAAATTAAAAATTCTTCATTAACCAAAGTGTATTTCAAAGCATTGTCTGTCGTAAATGGTAATAGTGTCAGACAAGCATCCATTAAATACTTCCAGATACTATTCCTAAAGGAAGCTTACATTCCAAGTAATGAGGCGTCTTAACTAAAAGTTACGCTTTAGTCCTTTTTTCAACGGTAGTAATTGAATACCTTTAAAATTATCCTGTATAGAAAAGTGCTACAGTTTTACATCATGTAGAAATATTGTTCTTTGTTCTTTCACCAACTAGTACTAGTTATTTGCCCACTAAGGGTGTCTTTGTCTAGATTTATTATGAATTTTATGATGAACTAGCTGTCGCCCGAGACTCTGTCTACGCGGAATTAAAAAAACATAATTAGTAGCCTATGTGTTCTTCCAGGCTATAGTCTACTTCGATGAAAAATTTCAGCGAGATCCGTGTTGCTGTTCTGGACATACCTTCTAACAAACATCCATCCATCCATTCATCTAAATATTCGCATTTATATTATAATATTTGTAAGATCTACACTATGAGCCAACTGAGAATACCAGTAAGATCTGATATAACAAAATTAAATATATATTTTTTGCTATTTCTCTTTCATTTTAGTTGGTCTTTTCTCATAAAAACTGGCTATCATTTGTCACGAATATCACAATAGTTATGTAAAAATTCACAAACAAGTATCATACTAGCTTTCAATTTTTAGGCATCGTAAAAAAAATGTCGCAGAATATTCGATATAAAAAGTCTCGATGTTTGTCACATAGTAAACAAAACGATAAAACATTTTAACTTGCCTTTTTTATTTACTTGGATTCAACGAATTTGACATTGCGTACTAAGCATGGAATTGATTGTGAATTTATTCTGGCATAGTAAAAGATTTTAGTTTCTTTTTTATTTTTATAAAATTGTTAACATGATAATTTTTGTTACAGTGTAAGGAGTGTCATGCACAAATACATGGAGAAAAAGAATGAAGTAAATTTCGACAAAATATTTAATCAAGTCCTAGGTAAGTGATTTTTAACAATTCATTCCATTTAAAGAATCATTATTTATCTTTATTTTGGATAATATTTGACGTGTATTTTTCTTAAATAAGCAATACGATATTATTTGAAAATTATGTTAGTTTTAACACATTTATGTTATTTTAATAGAAATATTTTCTTAAGTAATTTTCCCGCCTAACGTATGTTAATCGTAACGTGACTTAAATGTTTTCATTGGTGCCCAAATCGACGATCAACATCACGTTGCTTCCTTACAAATATGTACTTAAGCGATGTTTAATATAACAATGTAACTAGGGTGGCATCGTTATAACGATTATGGTGGGTTTCCCATAATCCCAGTTTAAAATTTTAAAGCTATATCTGTTTTGTCAAAGATAATGACAGGGATGACGATATGTTTTAAACAGAAATTTTGATCTCAGAAACCAACGCTTATTTCGGTTACGGGTTTAACATAAATGTCAAAATAGATGATGTGAAATAAGTCATTGATTCTCGTTTTTTTTTCATCGTCCGTCAAAAAGTTGATGGCCGAGAAGTACTTGAGATGTCACTGGTTTGAAGGGTCGCGGTTTATTGTCTATGGACATCCCTAACCGTAACTATGATGTAATAAATACAACTTTATTACGTATCCAAAAAGTTAAAATCGATTTAACAAAACCTGGTTTTAATGGAAATTGTACAGTTGATATATAAGAGCACATAAACACTAATGGATCCATAACATTACTTCCTAGTAAAGTACTATCTGTCATATGTTTTTATTAATCGTTGCTCTAACGTCACGTGTTTGGTAGATAGTGTTACACGATAACATTTATGTCTGGTATGCTATATTAATGTATTTATAACATTTCACAAGTGCCTCTACTATTCATCTTACTAGTATTTTAGAATGACGTCATTAATAACAAAGGTTAAATTACATATTATTTTCTTTGTATCAAATCTTTATAATATATTGCGTATCCTAACTTAACTAACGGAGGTTTTTTAGTCCAAAATCTCCGTTTAAAACATATTATCGTCTCTGTTTTGTCAAAGGGAATGACAGGGATGTCGATATGTTTTATATAAAGATTTTGGTGTCAGAAAATCACGGTAATCGTGTTAAGTTGTTGTGACTTGTCAAATAGCGTTAAAGATTACACTTTTTATTTTCAATGGATCCTGAAACAACTAATATATTTAGTTATATTTAGAAAATATGAATAAGTTAAATGTTAAACAATATCGTGCTACAAAACGTTTCCCGAAGCCATGAAAACTGTTTTAATACTGTAAGCCAACTAGTCAAACAATTAATCCTAATCTCCCATTTTAAGAGTAAAGGATTGTGCAAGGCGTCCCACTCAAAGTACATTGTTTAGAGAAGGGGAATATTTCGACCGAGTCGCTAGTGACTTTCAAATGTCGTGTGGGCGGTTATTTGATGCCCTTATTATATGAATGGGCTAAAATGTTTATATAGAACAAAGCAGCTTTGTAGTTAAATTAGCCTTAGACGTTTTAAATGGATTAACAGTTATTACTTAAAAACTTTTTCTTCAAACGCACAAACACCTACTACATTGACTAAAAAAGTCGAGTAACTATAAGGGTGCCGTTTTATTCTATCCGAGGTACGGAATCCTAAAAAGAACTTTACATTTATCTCAGATTGCTCTGATTTTCAAAATGTTTAGAAATAAATTAGGATCATCGTAATTTTTTCAACCAAAAAAGAAAAAAAAACTAATATCGACAAGCAAAAGACAAGTTGAATTTTTAATTTAAAATATAAATTTTAAATTGTTACTTTGTTTTTGGTTTAGAAATTATATTCACGCCAAAGTTTTATATTTATTGCCTTTTCTCTGTTACCAATTAGCATTGTCTAAGATAGAAAAATTTCAAATATGGCGAAATTATTTGGCGATCTTATCATTAGTAAAGTCCATTGAATTTGTCCAGAAATAAAATGAACGAAGTAACAGAAGAGGCAACGACACAGCTTTTGCAAGTTGTGAGATTAATGAATTCGTCTGTGCAGACAGATGGCATTAATTTAAAAGAGAATAGTTCTTTTTTACATTCAGATGTCTATGTATCTGTAACATTGAAATATAAAAACTATCAAAGATTTTTTTTTAATTTCAATGATATATTTAGACGGGTTAAGAATAGTTCTTGCTGAAGAAGTAAATTTATTTCATTAAACATTTGAAAAATGGGGAAACGCGTCCATCAAAGCAAACTACTATTGAATAATTTTATAAACACGTATCAAAATGTTTGTTTTCCACGTTATGAAAATGTTATTAGATTCTCATATTCTATTTCCGTATTTCTCTTCAATGAACGCGACGAATGAATGAAACCACCTAAATGAATGGAATGTTCAAAATTTATGTAAAGAGGAAGTATATGAATGATAAACATTCATTATTGGTTTGTGTTTGAATTAAATAATTTACGAAATATTAGCTGTAACCCGCGACTTCATTCGCGCAGAATTAAATAAATTATTTAAATAGTAGGCTACGTGTTCTTCCAGACTATGTTCTACATATAATCTTAATTTCATCGAAATTCGTTTAGCCGTTCCGGAGATACCTTCAAACAAACATCCATCCATCTAAACATTCGCTTTTATAATATTACTAATTTAAGATTGTAAGATATTAGTAAGAAGTAAGATTCATCGAATTTCTTTGAGCTGTTCTTGCGATACCTTCTATCAAACAGCCATCCATCTAAAATATTAGGCTAAAAATGCAAATTAAAAAAAATCAAGATACAAAGATAAAAAAATTGTTGTAATAATTACTAACTATTCTCTTAATGATTCCATCTATTTTATCAAAGAGTACACTAATGTAATTTAAATGTATTGGAAGCGATGCAGCTTGTGTTGCAAGCGTCTGGATTACAGGCTTAAGATAATTACAAGCCTGAGTCTCGGAGGAGGGTCACTTCCTTGTCGAAATTTGTGTCACAAACAAGATTATACTAAACACGATGTCACACTAACCGACACGGATTTTAGTTGAAAACAAGTATGAATAATTTATCCCATAAGCATCATTCATACAGTCATTTTCCTTTGTTTCCAAATACATGTAATTTTACGTATCATAGTCCTGTCAAAATAATATGAAAAAATGTAGCTTCTTTTTTTAAATTCTTAACTAAACTATTTAAGTTTCTGTTGGTGTATATAAAAGGAGCAAAGGACTTGCATAAAAAAATAGTTCTTTTTTTTATTTCATAGATTATTTCAACGTGACAAGATTCCTATGCGATGCACGTTATACGTAATTACATTGTCTAATGTCTAGTATCTTTAGTATAAGCTGTCGCCTTTTTTATTTCACAAGGCGAAAACTCGAAAAGGTCTTTGACTTAGAAATTTCTAAAAGATGAATTATCTTATACGTTGACGGTAACTTAATCTTTCTCAATTACAGGATGATTCTTGAAAATTAAAAACCAAAATATTAAAAGGATTTACATTGGTAATAAGGTGGTAACACGTTTATGTAGATTTTGGTGACTTATTATTTTTTGGTATTACATTTGTATACCTAATTATAGTTTCTTTAGTATGTATAGGTAGCGAACTTTAAAAGAAATATATGTAATTGTTATATACCTCTTGCGTAATAAAATCGTTTTAAAAATATATTTTTTATGGTTTTTAAATTGTATGTTTGCTTTACTGTTGGAATAATATCAGTTAATTGATTATCTAGTCTAGTACATAGAGTTAATCAGTGCGCGGTATCTCAGCTCAATGGAAGCGCATCGTATTGTTCACGCAAGACACAGATTATTACCGTCCCGTAGACAATTTGTTTTAATCATGTTGGCGCAACAATAATTTCCTTTCCTCGTTTATTTTCTCATCTGCCTTACTATACGCGATAATGTAATATGAAACATGAAACAGTTCATTTGAAGCAAAAGCTTATTTTATTTTAATGAAATACCTGCACTAAGGGATTGCTAAATTAACTCTTTGATGACTGTGAGACAGTTGATGTAGATGTTAATCAAAGAAACAACCAAATTCTAGTACATCTTAGTAGAGTTAGGAAGAAAATCCAACACTGTGCCGATGTATCAGCGCAACATTAGCCTTATTATCAATGCTTATGTCCCCTCACCAATCGATCTACCACTTGTCTTGGTAACGAAAGCATTCGCCCCTAATGATTCTAACTAGTAATGTTTAAATGTAGTAATTGTTTGCATGAACGCTTTACGGTCATTTAACTTGAATATTGCGGTTGATATCATGTGTAGCAAGTTCGCTAGCGGCATCGATAAAGTTATAGTGTATAGGTTTGCAATCAAGTAAAGTTACCGTAGTGGTTATATTCAAACTCCGACACAATGTTTGCATCGTCAAAGTTGTGAACAGAGTGCTTTGGTGGAAGTCATATAGACCAAACTGGACTAAATTTCATAACACCAGATTCTCTACAAGAAAAAAGTACGTGTGTTTAAATATACAAGTCTCGTTGTAGGTAATTAAGTTTTATTCAATTTTACATTAGCAATTTTCGTTTTGTTATGCAGGAGAAAATAAAAAGTCAAGAGCTTTCGTACGGTGTAAAGCTACTTGTAAGCGTGCAAATATTCCCACGCCTTTATCCAAGCCACAGCTTCATAATTAATACGCAAATTTGCATTTCATTTTGCATCTTTTTATTCCCTTAGCTTTCGCCCGCGACTCCGTCCGCGCGGCTTATAAAAATTCTTAATTAGTAGCCTATGTGTTTTTCCACGTTTAATCGAGATCCATGCAGCCATTCTGGACATACCTTCTAATAAATATCCTTCCATCCAAACATTCGCATTCATAATATTAGTAACATTGTTACTGTTAACACCATCCATAGATAATTGTGTTTTGTAAACAATCAAAATATCCTTTCAGAATAACCTTGTTTTGTAGTATAATAATATCTAGTAATAACATAATTTTTAGGAAGTAAAATGTCCGAAGTTTACCACCATTAAAGGCTACATGCAATCTTTGATTATTTTCATATATATTTTTTAAAATACACACTCAATCTTTAAAGATAATAGAAAACATCCAGTATCTTGTTGTACGTGTTACGCTTGTTTTCCAATACTCCCGGCGTAAAGCTATTTACTGCAAGTTGAAGTGGGACCGTCGTAAATTGCGTTTGTAACTCACTACGAGGGCTGATACAATGTATTTTGTACGACTAAACTTGTTTCTACCTGTACTCATAGTTATCTTGATTTATTGAAGCATTCTACAAAGATATAGAAAAACTAAAAACCACCAACGCATTTGTAGTATTTCTGGTGGTCTCTATTTGTCGTCATAACTCATTAAGTCCTTAAGATTACCTATGAAAGACATTTGATCACCCAATTAAACAATAACTAACTTTTGCTATATCAAGCTAAATAACTAAAAAAGGATAATAACAGAATAACCACCATGTATGTATGAGATTTGACGTGCCTTTGTTTATAGTAACTTTAGTATTAAAATATAATAAAGTTTACAACCCTATTTCCCTGGGTCATCGGACTATTACTTTCACAAACATACTATTATAAGATCCAAGTTTCAAAGCAATTTTCCTATATATTTTTTTAATAACTTGATGGCATTATTTCTGAATTTGATTAATGGTCTATAACCTCAAATGTTATAAGTTTGTCGCATTCGTATTTCATTAATAACGTAATAAATAGAACATTGTATAGTCTTCTTGTAATAGAAATATTAATCAGGTATTCAGTTGCTTTGAAAGGAAACATACTTATTGTCCAATGGCTTATACAAACTAATCGTATAGCATGTATTCAATATTGTTTGTAACTGATGAAGAATATGGCTTTTGATATATAAGGGGTCTACTATTTACTTACGTTATTTAGATTATATTTAATATATATTACTTAATTTTCATATCTAGTATATATAATACTTAAAATTTGATTTCCTTGAGACGTAAGTGAAGAGTGAACTTTGACTACCTAGGTAGACGTAAATGTAGTATGTATCAAATGTGCGTAAATATGCAGTTTGGTTGTAATATTTATAACATATCACTTGTCAGTAAAACGATTATAGGATTAAACAATAATAAAGTCAGATTTAATAACATCAATATTTTATTGCTAATGCAATGTGCGCAATAATATCGATTATCAGTGAATTTATGTTATTACGCCTTTTATAGTACACTATCAAAATGCTATTAGCAGACAAATGTATTTGAAAATTTAATACAAATATACGATAAAGTAAATTAAGTAAAGTTATAATGTGGATAGCGTATATTTTATTCAAATAGTGGCCAGTAATTCCTGTTGTCCTTAGGAATTCGTAGCATATGTTTAGCAAAGTAAGAGTTGTAGAGTAGAGTACAAAAGAAGTCAAAGAATGATGAAAAAAGAAAAGCCATTTACTTAAAAAAATAATTTGTCTCACACATGCTTGATACAGTTACAAATTTAATGATCTTGCTCCTTTTGTTATACGCAACAACATTCCTTACTTTAAGTAAAATAAATGGAGGGACAAAATTTAAACACGCTGTTCTTGAGAGACGTGTTTTTTCCTGAAAATTTTAGACGGGCAACGACTAAAAGCTGTGCGTTGTACGTAGGTGGGGCGGAGTACCCTCTCACTGAATAATTCCCCTCGCTTTACCTCTTAACGTCGCGGAGAAATACCTACTCTGTTAACTGCGGCGAAATGACTTATTTAAAATGTCTCTATTTAATATGAAAATTCTTTAAAGAAGTGCAATGAATTTAGTGTCTTTTTTATCTAATTTTTTGTCTCGAAAATAATTGCTATTTCTAGAAAAGACTTTTACCGACCAAATAGGTGACGTACTAAAAAATTATGAGTACCTGAAACCGACAAGAATGCATGTGTGAATGTGGAAGAGGTAAGCGAAGTGTACTAGGACCACAGAAATCAGGAATGTAATCTCTGACAACCCAGAGGTTTATTTTTGTGTGATATTGGTATATCTTTTTGACAAAACAATATTGTAGGGTTTCGTCTATTACCAAAATAACACGAAGTATTGTTTGAGGATGTATGTGAACATAAAATTACGTTTATACTAACTGTATATAATACTAACTGTATGTATACATCAAACAGTCAACTTTCTTTCCTCTTTGATCGCAAACATCCAAGGTCGCGTATGAGACACAAACAGTGTCGATTGTGTTGCTAAGAAAACAGTTTTATGCCTCGTCACTAAACAGCCGTGAATACTCTACGAAGTTCCTGTTCGCTGCCCTTGGCAACACTAATGATATCAAGAGCTCACGCTGGCAACATTAAATACCCTTAACTATAAATAGATACTTATTTCTTATAGATAGTTAACACAATAATCTTTTGAACAACTCTTTACTAAAGATTTGAGCCTAAATTGACGGATAGTCTGATCCTTAGATAGATAGATAGATAGATAAAGCCTTTATTCGCTGACAATTATTAAACTTAAAATTATTATACAATATTGACAAACTTATTTTCTAGTAATTAACCTATGTTAGATGTATGTTTAATCGATTTCCCAGCATCCCGTTGCGTGTCAGGTTGTCCCTTGACATAGGCCTCCCCTAGTCTCTTCCACCAGTCTGATCCTTAACTTGTATCATCTTTCTGTTGCAATGTGCCATGTGCTATCGTGGTAAAGCGTTACTTAATTCATAAAAGAATTATTTTTTTTTTCTTTAGATAGTAAATTTTATATAGCTACATATTAATCCGTAGGAAGTTGTAGCGACTGCGATGTTCTGACTAAATCTCTTTATACGGCCGCAAGCTGATAGTACTGCGAGCTTTAAAACTGCAATCTGTAGTCTTAATTAAAACTTATTTTAATTATTTTTTACGATCCGTTTGTAGCAACAACTTTGTACCAGCTCTATCGTAAAAGTTAATAATCACAATACTTTTTGCAGCTTCATTTTAGGTATTCATTATCTTTGTGTAAACAATGAATTTAGTCTGTTTTAATAGAAAAAAATCTGCCATTTTTACAGTAATAAGATAAGTAATCAAGATTACCTAGTTTACCTTTTAAATAGAAATATTTAAAAGTACTTAAGTACTGTTTAGTCACGGAATGTAGCTGTGAAAATTGTCTTGTAAGCTTGTAAGCTTTATTTATATTTTTATTAATACTTTACATACGATTCTGTATCTCCATAACACATTTAATTACAGTTATTTTATTGTAATCATGCGTTCGTTTTTTGGCTGATTAAGAATACTCGGTAACGTTTGTTATAAAATGTCTTGGTATCTCCGCGAATGTGTGCGTTGTTATTTTACGTGGAAAAAGTCTTTTGAAATTATATTTTTACATATGATTTTCGAGTATTAATAAATATTTAAATTAGTGTGCGGTATTTTTCTTAAGAATGAATTTAAATTGTATTGTTAAATAAATAAAAAAAAATGATTTAAATACAATTAGTGCTTTTACACTACTGAATAGGATAAAGAGAAGTTGAATTATAAAAAAAATAATTAATGATTGTAATATACGCAGTTGCAATAATTGTGCAGAAAATATATCTACACTGGCTGTCCTACGCGACTCCGTCCACCCGGAAATTAAAAAAAAACTTAATTAGTAGCATCTGTTCTCTTCCAGGTTATGTTCTTTATGCCAAATTTCAGTGAGATCCATGTAGTCGTTCTCGAGATACCTTCCAATACACATCCATTCGCATTTATAATATTAGTTATCTACATATTATTGGTTTACAATTCTCTACAAGTGAATTATGTAGAAATTTCGTAATTCCATTTCAACAATCCATTCATATATTTAAAGACTTAATGTAGGCGTTATCAAAAATGTTTTATTGCGTGTAATTAATTGATCGATATGAAAACGACTGGAACAAGCGTGACAAATTTGTTGACACTATTTCAAGCCAGCAATTAGCTCATACGTGCTGTGTAATTGTTACATTTTTATCGTCATTTTATACACACTTATTGTATTTACGCCGGCCAATTACGACTTAATGATGCAAAAAAAGGCGTTAATAAGGGATCTGCGTGCGCACGCATTTTTACACGCTTTTAATTAAAATCGTGTGAAGTTGACATCTGGCAAAAATGTAATATGATAAACAGATTATACAACAAGACAGAATTGTTTGATTTAATTAGGCGTCTGACTAGATGGAGCCTTTAATTTATCTAAAAACTTAAGGATATTTGAGGCTTTTAACCTCAAACGTAGTCAAGACTGTCAAGTCCGTTTTAAGGCGAGCATCCAAATTACACTTGTCAGTTGATTGTATATGATTACAATTAGATCAAAATTTTAGTAATGAACCCGAATATTTAAATAAATTATGTTTTGTATTAATTTTAGATTTAAATAACAATTAAGCTATATAATTACAGGTATCCGTAACAAATGAAGCATTTATTGTTTCAGGTTATTTATTATTTAAGGAGTTCTGCGAACAAACGTCAGAGGAGCCGGTGCCACAATTAAAATTTTATGAAGAGGTAACTATAAATCTATTACAAGTCTACGTCCTTATAAAATTGCTCATCGTCATATTCACATGCATTATTTATTGTAATTTGCTTATAAATCGAATTCCAAGACGTAGGTTGATTTTGAATAATCTGTTTCCGAAAATATCCTAATACATCTATAATTTTATATTATAAATTGTGTTTTTATTAACAGATAAAGTTGTACGAGAAACAAGAATGCGTGGAGGAGAGGCGGCGGATTGCGAGGGACATTTACGACAATTTTATTATGAAGGAATTATTGGCGCATTCTCACGTGAGTAACAATAGATTTTGCTTCTATAAACTTTCGCGAATGAATGCTTTTGATGGCGACATCGTATTTCCTTTACCTTCGGAATCTGATTCATGATTATGCGTTAACTCTCGTGGATTATTCCTTGATCTTTTCTTCTAGCAATTTGATGACTTCATATCCGTAGAATTTTTAAATTTATAGAGTAAACTAGCTGTCGCTCGCGACTCCGTTCGTGCGGAAAAAATAGATAGCCGATTCTCAGATCTACTATGCATATATTCATAATTTTATAAAAATCGGTCAAGCCGTTTCGGAGGAGTATGCTAACATTGCGACACGCGAATTTTAAATTGAGTGAATATGGTGTGTTACCTTATTGCACCATCAGTTGTATTCTGATAAGTGTTAAATCACCGATTAACATATGTTTTGTATTTGTGGTAAACTAATAGAGACAATTACAGCGTATTGTAAAGAAGAAATATAAAGGTTATTATCCTCTATGCAGTTTTTATACCAAACATATTAAGAGTGAAAACTTAAAATTTGTATGCACATTTGATTTGTAAATAGCAACGAATGCCAGTCAACCTATGCACATTAATCTTACTTTTCGGTCAATGAACCCTGAATGAATAGCTTTCGCAGATGCATTAACAGATAACAGATATATTTCTGCACTCAAGTTGCAATTAAACTGTGGATCTGTCATCAAACAAATGTCATTCCAGTCTCTCATGAGAGTTTCTTATGAAATTCGTCTGTAATGAGACGGTGTTGGCAAGCTGCCCGCCGTACCGGACTTCGACGTACTGTTCACAATCGAATCTTAATGGCATATGCATCAGTCTTTTAGCAGTTACTAACCTATTAATAAAACGTTTAAATGTGAAACTTATTTACCCATTTTTATTTTATTTGTATCATTTATTCATTGAGGAATCTGGTCTGTTCCAATCTAATCTTCTATACGTATTACAGTAACGTCTTAACACATGATGTGATACTATGATTCGTACGACTAAGGTCACTTATTTTACTAAATGCTAGTATACCCATTGAATCTTTGTCTGATACATGACAATGATGATATGACACACTTAGATTTAAGTAATTGGTTGTAACTTGATTGCGTTTTTTATCTGTCTACTCCAGTTAGTTTAAAGATAATTTGAATTATCATTTTAAAAGTAAATATAGGTTTTTAAGTTATTGTTATTTGCAGTGCGCGTTTCAGAGTCTTAGAACTAATTTGTTGGATTTAGATTGAATAAAGATATTTTTATTAATTACTGTTTACCTTTTTCTATTCAAGGTTACATTCTAAATTTAGATGACGTATATTTTTATTAATATTCTATTGTCGGCTTCAGGCATCAGCTTTTAAAAGAAATTCAATTTACTTTGGATATTTATGTAACCAAATTCCCCTCATAGCTTGTGCAAACAACGTATTCGTTATAAAATATTAAACTAGAAGTTTTTAGTTAGATAACCTACATGAGCGCCGTACTGTGGCCTATTAATAATAATTTAACATGCATTCTCTTTGTGTTTTATAAACGAACTATTAATTTTATATCGTGGCGCAAAAATTTGTATTTCATGTGACATATAATGTCTCTAAATAAAAAATTTAAAGCTACAAAGAAACACAATATAAAACCACAAAATGCAATTGTTTTTTTACAAACGATGAAAATAACGTTGTATTTATTATACAGTAAACTAAATAAATTTATTGTAGAAAAAAACTTTTAAATAACCATGGATTTTTAAATTATGACATCTAGTATGAATATCTTTTTATATATATAATTCTTCTGTGAGTGTGTATGTCACTGAACTTCTCTCAAACGACTGGACCGATTTTGATGAAATTTTTTGTGTGTGTTCAAGGGGATCTGGGAATGGTTTAGATTCACAATTTTGTCCGCTGGACAATGTTTTTTTAATTAATTTTTAATTTATTAGTAGTTGTTGATTTTGGAATGTTTTACATTGGACCCGACAGACGGCGCTACCATCGCAGTGTCAAATTTTCAAATTTAAGACGTGTAGACAGGACAACGTCTGTCGGGTCCGCTAGTACTAAATAAAATAATTTAAAACACGACGTTTTCTTTTTTTGTTAGCGATAATGGTATTTAAATGCCATTTATCTGAAATAATTAAATGGTTATAAATTTGGAGAAGCATTAGCTATTGACGTTTGTCAATAAGTGATAGATTAGTAATAATAGTTTAGTAATAAATTCATTATTTTTATAATTGCTATGTTCATCAAGTAGCCAGTTATATTATCGATTTGATACTAATTGTCTTGTTTGTTTTAGGATTATTCCAAAGAGTGTGTTGCGCATGTACAAAAATATTTAATGAAACACGAAGTGCCACCTAATTTATTTGAGGTATGAAATTTTACTTATATTTGTTAGTGACCGATGAACAAGGCAATCTTTGTTAAGTTTTGTTAAAGTGATAAAAGTTTAAAATAAGCGATAATATCTGGAATACTATCCCTTTGATGTATAAAGTAATGTAACTAATTTTGAAATAACTATTTCGATTCGTTCGATGAAGAATTACAGATCTTATGATCATTAAAAAGAAAAAAGTAAACAATTGGAGTATTGCCAGGAGCTTTTGATTTTTAATTTGTTTGTGTTATTTTTTCTAGAAGACTAAGGTCATATTCTTTTACAGCCATATATCGAAGAAATTTTTCAACATTTAAGAGGAGAGCCGTTTAAAAACTTTTTGGAAAGGTAATTTTGTTTTATATTTGGTTCTCTTACATCCCACACTAAAGTTTTATTTGATAATCACGTTTTGTTATCTGTTGAGATTATCATAAGATGTCTATACAATACGAAGTTGTCATGAATGAATAATATTGTTGCAGCGATAAGTACACGAGATTTTGTCAATGGAAGAACTTGGAGTTGAATATTCAGCTCACGATGAACGACTTCAGTGTACACAGGATCATCGGACGAGGAGGTTTCGGGGAGGTCAGTATACAAGTCAAATTTTTGTGTGAAACGATCCTTATTTATATGTATATTATCAAAGGACCTCTTTTAAGGCACGTCGGGCCAAAGAGTAATTTTTTTACCGAGGTGCTGAATCAAATACCGGGTTGTCCTCTTCAAAAAAACTAAGGCTCAATTCACACTTGACACAGATTGTAAAAGAACAGTGACCGGTGAGTCATTATTTCTCGTTACCGTGTAACAGGTGTACGGTTGCCGGAAAGCGGACACGGGGAAAATGTACGCGATGAAGTGCCTCGACAAGAAACGCATCAAAATGAAGCAGGGCGAGACGCTTGCGCTCAACGAGAGGATCATGCTCTCGCTAGTCAGTACTGGGGTGAGTGAGATTGATGATAACTACACACTTGTTTTTATTAGAACTGAGAGATCTGGCTCTTAGGAGGCCAGATTGTGTGTAGCCAGAATAGTGACTAATGCGTATTTGAATCGGCTACTGTTCAAAATATCTCGTATCACGAACTTAAGTTTGAATGGTTAAAAATAATGCGTGAAAGATATGTAAACATTCTTCTATTCTTTTATGACTTTTTATTTGATGGACGTCAAATTATAAGCCTGTATTATCATTAAAATTAAACTAAACGATGATTTATCGTATTGCAATGTCCGGCAATGGGACTATGGCCTCGTCATGCGGATCATCCACCCACCAGCTGAGCCATTATCGACTTACACAATTGCATATCAAGGGTATACAATGAATCCCTATATCCACAGACATCATCTAACATTATCCAAAATTGGTGCCAGTTTTATGTTAATTTGCTATATTTCTGATTTCTTGGGATTAAATTGTACCTTAAATATGTATTCTATTAAGAAAAGGGTCATGACAGACAGACGGACGGAAAAAGTGATCCTACAAGAGTTCCGTTTTTTTCCTTTCGAGGTACGGAACCCTGAAAATAAGCCTGTTTTAAGTATAGATGCACACTGCATTGCTGGATATATACCTTTTTGAAAGACTTGTGAGGTATTTCGTTATCCACCTATATTCGCTCGAGATCATCAGCTATATTTTTGAGTGACTTACCTAATTCCCAATTGGTGGGTTAATACCGTTAAAACACAATAAACCAATTGGTACTCTAAAATAGTTTGCTTTCCTTCAGATGTTTTAGTTCTTATTACAGCTAAGGAATATATTGGATTGAGCGCTGTCTGTTTAGTTTTTGTTTTCGCTAACTTTACTAACAAGTTCAGTAATCAGCGGCCGCGCTGGGCGCCTGATAGCGGTTATTTATTTGTTCTGATTGCTCCTTGTGATTATCGTTCGTTGATATCTGATTGTTTTATTAATAGGTATTATCGCAATGCTTTAAACATTTATACCAGTAAATTAAGTGCCAACGTTCGACTTAAAAATAGAGTGAAACTTGAAATAACAATATCTATGGCAGAAATGAGCCAGCTCGAACAATAAAAGACTAAGATAACATAAAAGACATGCTTGAAGTAAAGGTCATTCGACATTTCGTTTAACGCATGCCGGAGGCCTAATTTTAGTCCTCTTTCCCCTCCTTTTCTTTTAAGAAAAGGTTGGGAGGAACAATATTTCTTCCACAAAATGAAACAGTACGTAACAACAGTGAAGGTTTTCACCGTATACAACCTACTTGCTCATGAGTACTATTTGTTTATGATATGCCGATACAAAATGAAATTGTGCTCTCGATGAGTTGAGTTGCTCTTTTATTTCTCTACGAAATGAAGAGAAGTCGCCTCTTACGCAGATGTCCTCAGCGCGAAGTCTCTTTGCAAATATTTTCAAATATTTTTAGGGTTGCCACTAACATTTAACAATTTCACATAATAAGGTAAATCGGCACACACTTAAATTATGACTGATTTCTGTGATAATTGAATGATTAGAAGATTTATATTTAGATACCAAAGATTATTTTTCTTAAGTTAAGCAAATAAGTAAAATGATATGTGCATTACAATTTTTGTTTATAAAACAATATGGTACAAATCGAAATCTCGCCAGTAAAGTATAAAAATATATATGTGCTTTTGAAAATCTAATAATTTGTTCTAATGAACAAAACACAGTCTGAGAAATTGACTGCCCTGTTTTGTATTTGTTACGTCATTGGTGGCCATAGCCGTTGATAAGTTACTTGAATGTATTTTCCTTTATATTCGGCACGCTTTTGTGTAGCGTAACATTATTTGTGCTCGGCACGTAAAGGAATTTATACAGGGGTGAACCGTGCTCCCGACGACGTCGGTTCCCGTGAAAATTTTGAATGAAACACCGTTACATGCTTTGATGTTTATTCACACGTTTTTGTTATTTAAAATGTGTCGGGCTGAATAAAGATATATAACATAAATTTAATGTATAGAGACATAGAAAAGCGTATATATCTTAATTTTTTGTTTTGTATTAATAGCATTTTGTAGAAAGCAATAGGATTTATGTACATGTTATTTTCTATATCAAAATAATGTCAGACATAGAAAAGAGTGTTAATGTAATGAAAATCATATATTTTATTGTATAAAAATTTGCTATAACATTTTCATTACGTTCGTTAATGGTAAATCTGCAAAATGAAGGACGTAAAAGAAATTTCATCTGTCGATTTTTACGATTCATCTGTCCTTGTAGTCCTATATATTTGTTATTATCGACATTTCAGTTTCAATCAACTAAACATCAAGGTTATTTCCTTAATTATTTTATTCTTTAAGTTTGTCCTCACATGTAAAACATCTATTGTGTTTTCTGCATTATATTAAGAAAGCATTTATTCATCCAAGTGTGTAGTTATCCGATATATGTTATTTCAATTAAATAAGCTTTGTTCTCAATCAATGGCCAGTTTATTGTTGCCCTCCAGTCGACGGTTGAGAGTGAATCACGCATCTGTACTGTGCGGCCCTTTTCGTAATCACCCTTTATTGGATTTCGTTCCTTTACTATTCAATTGACGCTACAAATATATGTTTCTTGCAGACATTCTGTATTGTTAAATTTACTCTCGATGCGAGTTTCCATTAATTGTACGTTCAATAAAAACTATTTAACCTTATGATTTTAAATTTAGTTTATTCCTGATAGACAGTGAGGTAAAAATACGACAAAAAGAATCGTTAAATGTAGGAAAATCCAGTTAAAAGAACAACTTAATTACAATTAAATGTACGCTTTCAAAATGAGTAATGGTGGAAATGCCAATAGTAAAACGTAAATGCCAGTAGCAAAAAAACACAATTTTAATTGGTTCTCGGTACAATGTATCGCGGCACCGACATATAGTTACATATACATCTCGATACAGCATCAGCACATAAATGATAGCCGGCCAATTGGAGTGAAACGAATTGGTTCGCCCTCAATTTGTCGTCGCAGCTCAGCTCGCTTCCGCTGCACTTTGTTTCCATCGAACGATTGCCTCAATCATTTTTCATATTTGTATTGTCCTTAAAAGCCTGTTAATTGTTTTCCGAATTGACACCTACTTCTCTTTATTTCCCTATTCCATGTCTATCAATTACCATCTTTTTGATTTCATTCCTTTCGTGCATTTTTCGTTTAATCCATCTGTAATATTCTAACAAAGCCTTTCTTTTATTTATCTAGTGCACAGCACAATACTTCTTTGCACAAACATTTAATAGAAATATTTTTCCAAAAATACAAAAGACAAACGGTTATACAAAAAAAAATAACTAGCCAACTTTAGATGTTTATCCATCGATTTAGTCCAATCTACCCCGTAAACACGATCCACGAATTTAATGCACAAAAACAACTTTTTACATATGGAATATTTCACGAAGCGACGTGGGAATTTATCGCGAGAATAACATTTGACAACCCGATTTCTGGATGATATAAAACGTCTCCCTAAAGTTTGGCAAGGCCGCCACCCCGAAGTTCTAACTGCGCGAAACTGTCTCTAGTCTCACTCACACTTTAATATGTATTGTGGACTTTTCACATTAATATTTTTCTTTGTCGTGACCTTATTTTTGCATCGTAAGTTTAGTTGCTAGGAACTCGATCGTTTCAATACTTTATGCCATTTGTATCGACACCGTAACTTGTCAGCCAAATGATACCTACCCTAATATTTGGGTTGAACCTTATTTTACTTTAATGAAACTTGGAATAAATCCAACATCTTTAACAATCATTCGTAACAATTAGAATATTTCAAAACTATTTATTCCAGATACTAAGAAAAAAGCTGTACCTACTCGTAGATTCTTTTCCTCATTCATCATCATTCATGCTATTTTCGATTGGTGCAAATTTTAAAATATTCGCTTTTTGTAACTCTTAAAGTTATTTTTTCGTAGTATATGCGGTGTTTGATTTAAAACCTCATTTCGATTGAATAGCGCGGCGTCCTGTCGATTTAATAAACGTGTTAACTATTTTTAAACGGAATGAGAGCGCGTAGGAGCCATCGATTACTTTTACACATGTACCAATAGCTTTCGTACCACGGCAATGTCCGCCATTACCTAAATCTAAGGGAAAACCAATAATCATATAAGCGGATTGGAGATCAAGAATGACTAATAGGGTTTCACACGTTATTCATGTCGTTTTTATATCTTTTATTACTTTTAATACTTACCTTTGAATGTGGATGTTAAGCCTGACATGAATAAGATACATTGACCCCAATGACGCTTTACGTTAATGACTTCAATAGGTAATCTTATGATTAAGGTATTCCTAATTTCTTGTGAGATGACTCGAATTTAGTAATCAATTTCATAGCAAATTCTTTTTTAATTATGTAGCGAAGATGTTACCGCTTTTATTTCCCACAACACAAATCTATGTTTTTGTAGATATTAGTATTAAAAAGAAAAGTGGAAATTTGCGAAATTCGCTTCGTTGAAACATAAATCCTGCGTTATCTAACACCTTTACCCCAATTCAGTTATCCACAAATGATAAATAAATTCGCATATAAGACGAATATTTATTAGGTCGGAGATTACTTACATAAAAATAAGACAGATTTGTCTGTTTGGTGGGACGACACAGTTTTACGAGCGGCCGCTCGGCGCCGACAAGTCTGACGGGGCACCAAGACACCGCAATATCGCTCAGAGCTCAGCCCAGCTTGGAGCACACATGTTTCATTTGTTCACTATTTTATCTACTAACTTACTGGTACTTATTTACTTGATAAGTTAAGTAGAACGGCTTAGTAACATGTGAAGATTATTTCGACTTCTAACTTTCTAAGGGAGATTTTTTCTTGATTTTCTTTTAATAGTGTATTAATTTATAGATATTTTGTATTTATTTATTTCTTTTTTCATTTTATAGCATTGCAAAAAGGTTCTAGTGATATTTTTTAACTTTACTAGCGAATGTTATAACTTTGTCATGTTTATTGAGCTAATATAAGCAGTGTGAACGCAGTTTATGAAAGAGGTAACATATGCACAAAAACATTTTTAATACATGGCCAATATTTATATACTGCAAACATAAATTTTAATGTATAATGTCTTTATGCAATATAATCCCACTTAAAACATCATGTAAAAGCAGAATATTATGCTAAAATTATTTGCATTTATTAAAATTACGTTTTAATACGAATGTAAATGCAGGCATAAATTTGACCACACTACAATATAGTTATATTTGAACAGTTTTATGTTTCGTACCCTCTGACTATCCCTTTAGGTTTACTATCGTGAAAGTTTTATTTTCCTGGATGACGACAGATGCGTCGTATAGACAATGTAATGTCATTAGAGAGAAATTTTATGAGTCATAACTTTTATTCGTGATTCATAACTGACGCAGCGCCGTTTATTCGGGAGATGATACAGTTGCGTCCTTTTCGATACTATGTTTAACAATGCTGTATTCTTACTCGTATTATAAATATTACACAGGATCTATATTTATATCACTACTAGCATTCTCAACCGACTCCGTTTGGGGTTGAATCAAAAATAAAATTCCTGGCCTTTGTGCTGTTCCATGTTGTAATCTATTTCTGTTCTAATTTTCCTCTTGATACGTTCAACCGTTATAGAATTACCGATAACGAACCATCAATTCGTTAATCCAAACTTTCGCATTTATAATAATAAGTTTATAATATTAGATTAGTAACATTTTAAGTTAATAGCGTATAGCTAAGTATGTATTGACTATATACAATATTGAATTAAGAGAGTGACAATGGTAAGCTATCCAGGATTGCGTCTAACGGACTAATTTGATCTAGTAATTAAATAATGTAAAGTTTATTTGAAATATTTAAACTCCTTTTTTATTTATCTCTTTAATTCAATATTATATTATTTATTTATAATCTAATACTATTTGTAATATATCAATATGATATCCAGACGGCCTGTCACAGTGTGACTAACTTAATTGTAACGCAAGCCGTGTAAAACCTGCTTGATAAAAGATGCAGACGCACTCTCACGTGACGTCGCGCTTCCCGTACGACACGGCGATTGTCCCTTCCTTTCCCCTGTGAATCACTTCCCTTCTCATAGATCGATTATACTTTGATAACTGAGTTCATTTTTAACAGATTATTCTTTGAAAATAACATGCTAGCGTTAAATTTTAGCATCGTAAAAAATGGATGGAATTATTTAATTTTTTTTTCGGAATGATTTAAAATATTGATAATATTGTATCCTTCCTTTCCGATCAGCGGAGTTTTTGTATTGGTTTTTCGTGTTAATTCGCCAAATGTGGCATTGTGTCTTATTCTTTCCGATTGACAAATGTGACTGCTGTAACGTTTAGGATTTTTTGTATAATGAATTCGTCGTCTGATGCTGTGTCCCGGATCCCTATAATATACAGGTAGTAGGACTGTCACAGTATAAGGGGTTGTAAACAAAGGATTAGTTCATCATACGCACGGTTAATATTTCCGGTGGCGGTGCCGTGCCGCCCATAACCGCGGGTTTATTGCTTTAAATGCTATTTTGCAATTCGTTACTGGACGGACGTTCGCTCGGGACTATATTCGTAGCTTTGCATTCCCGTTTCATTTCAATTTGCGTCACTTTGCTGGATTGATTTCCAAATTAACGTGGCACGCGATGCGATGCGGGGGGAAGTTGGGCTCGCTCGTGTTTTGTTTACTTTATGTATGTACACAAGAGCGATGGTCGTAAAGCGGCCATTTTAAGCTATATTTTGAAAACCAATAGTGGACAAAACAATATTTGAACGCGACAATTGGCGTGTAATAAGTTCATCCAAACATGTGTAAAATACGACGCCCAATAAACATTAAGAGTGATAATTAAAAACGTTTTATCGAAACTCAAGTATTGTATGTCGTATGTACCATACGTGGTTCTTTACGTCGTAAAGGCCCAGGTTGGTCGGAAGTGACTGTGGATTTTCCAAAGTACAAGTTGAATATATTTTGCGTATTGTAAAATATTCCTATTATATAGGTGTCAGTGACGTTGGCAACTTATATGATTACTTACATACCTATTTTCAGATATTATTAGTTAAAATCATTTGACGCGAATGACTTCCTTTCGTTACAAAGTCAAGTGTCAGAATGAGTAGTGAGAGGACATAAATGTTGACATTTTAATAAGGCTAGTATTGCGCCAGTACACCGGCAAAGTGTTGCATAATCTTACTAACACTATATCATACAATCTTACCATGCCTTATAAATAAGCTATTAAGTGACTCTGCAAATTCTTTTAGAGAAATCAATGACGTTTTCATATACAATTAATCAAATTAGTTTAATTAAAAAATAATAGAAATATTCACACAAAGGAAATGTACTTAAAAGATTCATATCGAACTTGTCATGGCTTCTTTTGTTCCGAGTAAAATAATTAACAATTCATATTACTCATCAATAGATCGTTATCAATTAAAGTCATTAATCGGTATAATAGTACTTTTTATTCCTAAGTATTGACGTCACTAGCCATAATGAATAAACTATTACAGGTATGCATACGTATCAGCAATTGCTGCAATTAAGCAAGCAGCGCGCCATTCCCTCTAAATGATTCTAACTAATAATGTCTAAAACTCCAGAACTTCTACAGTGATCTTGCTGAAATTTGGCAGAGATGTAGAAGGTAGTCTGGAAGAACACATATGCGCGCGATGACGGAGTCGCGGGCGCCAACTAGTATACTATAATAACGATAGCTTTTTTAATATTGTTCAGGTGGACTGCCCATTCATCGTGTGCATGACGTACGCTTTCCATACACCAGACAAGCTGTGCTTCATCCTTGACCTGATGAACGGGGGCGATCTACATTATCACCTCTCCCAACATGGCGTCTTCAATGAAGCTGAGATGAAGTTTTACGCCGCTGAAGTTATTTTAGGTAAGCATTTTTTACCTTGTATTGGGTGCCGAACGAAAAGCACATTTATTTATAAAAGAAGGAACATTGGGTTTTTAGACCTTCTTAGATTCGTACAAGAAAAGATTGTCATTGGAGTGGTTCTTTGATTTAAACAAGGAAAAGATACAAAATTCAAAACATTACATTGCATAAAGTAAGATAAAAACCTAAACGATACAAAAAGTGAAAACTCCAAAAGTTAGGCTATTTTTGACTATTGCCACACCTTTTATCGCTTCGAGGTTCGTAAAATCTGTTCGTTTTGCTTTGATATTAGACGATTAAACACGTGTATTGCTGTGACGTATATATCTGACTTACTTCTGTGTCTATTTTTGATGTGATTCATCGAAAAAAAAACCTTTTTTTTTATTAGCAAAACGATCAATGACATTTAAACTGAACTCTTTTATTTTTTATCTGATTTATAAATGGTTTTCCTAAATGTAATTGTGCATCTAAATGCAATATACATACGTCTAGTGAGACGATCGGAATGTTTTGATTTGGGTTTAGTTGTGTTTTCATAGATAATTGTTATCATCATCATCAGCTCACTATACGTCCCCACCGAGGGGCTCGGAGCCTACCCTAAGTCAAGGGTGATTAGGCCATAGTCAACCACGCTGGCCAATGCGGGTTGGTTGACTTCACACATATCTTTTGAATTACTTCTCAGACATGTGCAGGTTGCATCACGATGTTTTCCTTCACCGTAAGAACGTCGGATAAATGTACATATGTAAATCGAAAATCGAAAAATACATTGGTACATGGCGATATTCGAACCCAGGACCTGCAGATTGCAAGTCAAGTGCTTGATCACTGTGCCACCGACGCTCCTCATAATTGTTATGAGCATTAGTAATGCAACATTGTTTTATCACTTCAATTATTACCAAACGTATTCTCCATTGTTTATTATTCCTACAGCTATTATTTAATAAATAATCTAATTTCCTTTTGTCTTTAGATGATATACTAATGTAAATAATAGTTTTGTTTAAGATAATCTTAATTAGGTCAGAATTAGGAGAATTTAAAAAGGTTTAATTTGCGTTTCCTCGAATAAAGAAAACTAAGGAGTAGTTTATTCAATAAAATAATGACGTCACAGCAACTTGATTAGTTTACAAATTGAAGCACAAAGCTTTGTCAAGCTATTGCTTTACTATAATAGATTCAATATCCATTTCCAATTTGCAATTTCACATCGGCATGTTATTACGATCTGGAACAGTATCGAAAAATAATGGATAGTCGTAACTCTGTCCGCCTATAAATATTTCTTGTCGTTACATTTGCTTTTATAGATTTGCAGTAAATGTTAATGCATTTTTGTAAAAGAAAAGTAAATAAAAAATGTATTTAATTTAAATGTAACTTGCACACAATTACTGGTATGAAAAAGAAATAATTGTGTAAAAAGGTTGAGGATTAAATTAATAATACAAATGATTTGTTTTTTTTTTATCTTCGCAGGCTTAGAACACATGCACAAACGACACATAGTATACAGGGATTTGAAACCGGCTAACATACTGTTGGATGAACACGGCCACGTGAGAATATCCGACCTGGGCCTCGCCTGCGACTTCTCCAAGAAGAAGCCACACGCTAGTGTGTAAGTTGACTTTTGCCTAAAAATACGTTAACTTTCCTATGAACGTGTACGAACCTGCGTTATATTGTGACGTCATAGAAATTGGAAATAAGTGTTGCCAGTAAAAAATAAAATAAATATTTTAATAAAATTTAAAAAATATTTTAATGAAATAAATAAGATTTGAAATGCAAATTTTTATTTGTATATCTTTATATATTTGGATATGTTTTGTATATCTTTGTAAATTTTCCTTATCACGAGCAAGCGTAAAAAGACCTGTAAAGTAAAATTAAACTTCAATTGTATAAAATTCAATTTTATTTACGATTAAATCTGCTGTGCTCTATCCCGGTCTATGTGAACGGACCCTAAGTCGTACTATATCAATTTCAGAGGCACGCACGGTTACATGGCACCGGAGGTCCTGTCAAAGGGCACGGGTTACGACTCTTCAGCGGACTGGTTCAGTTTCGGCTGCATGCTGTACAAGCTACTCAAAGGCCACTCTCCATTCCGCCAGCACAAGACTAAAGACAAACACGAGATCGACAGGATGACCCTAACAATGGTAAATATCTAGATTCTTGCTTTTTATACATTTAACACTAACGTTTGCACAACACTTTTGTCAAATTAAACATTCATAATACAACTAATACAGTATAGGACTACTTGAACCTTGTAGTCATCTATTATAAAGCCTATTAAGTAACAATATTCTTAAGGAACTGAGAAATTGTAACCTTATTGCTAGAAAACTTAAGGTTAAAATTTGCATAAATGTAGATTTTACTATTATTTAATTGCTTTAATAATACTACTTAACATAAGCTTATTAGTACTTGTCTTGTTTTTATTTTACACTAGCTTTTGCCCAAGACACCGTTCGCACGGAATTAAAAAAAAAACTTAGCAAGTATGTGGCCTTTCAGACTATGTTCTACATCTATGCCAGATTTCAGCGAGATTAATGCAGCCTTTCTGGAAATGACATCTAACAAACATCCATCCATATGTCCAAACATTTGCATTTATAATATTAGTAATATGTAAAGGCATTAAGCGTCCAATTTACCGACAATTCGTAATCATGATTCATATAATTAGTATAAAATAGAATGTGATTTGTGAGGATTGAATAATTTCTGCAATAGAATTACAATATGTTTCAGAACGTGGAGCTGCCGGAGTCGTTCAGCCCCAGCCTGCGCAGTCTGCTGGAGGGCCTGCTGCAGCGCGACGTCGCCAAGCGCCTCGGCTGCAAGGGCAGGGGGTGAGGACAATAACTCTATCTCATATAGCCAACTAACATCTAATTTACATAACAAATACAACTAAAGTCTAATTTCAAGTTGCCAATAAAACACAATTAATTTCTACTAAAAGACGGAAATACAATTTGAAAAAATTATGGGTGGTTTGCAGAAAATAATTTAGACGTACATTATCCACATCTAACATAATCCACATGGCTGTAAAATTGCATATGCTCATGCATGCGTGCTTGCGTGTGTGTGCGTGCGTGCGTGTGTGCGTGCACGTGTTACTTATGTGTTGTTGTAGCGCGGACGAGCTGAAGGAGCACGTGTTCTTCGCGGGCATAGACTGGCAACAGGTGTACCACCAGAAGTATACGCCGCCGCTGATCCCGCCGCGCGGCGAGGTCAATGCTGCAGACGCCTTTGACATCGGCAGCTTTGATGAGGAGGACACCAAGGGTATCAAGGTGAGGTACTAGTTGTGATTTAATGCGAACAAATTCACGTCAAAATCAAGCTTGTAATATAAATACATTAACTTTTTGGAAGTGTTGGTTCGGCTTTTTGGCGAATTCAGGCGGCCGTTTACTCATTGCCCATTTTATTCATTTCGAATAAAGTGTAAAATATGTGCGCTTTGTTTAAATTGTTTTTAATTATCATCAATAATGAGAATAAAAAAATAAGTTTGTAAAAAATATGTGTACAAAAAATTACTTCGATTTACGCAATTATTAAAAACTCAATGATGTATTTTGTGTTGCAGTTGACGGAAACTGATCAGATGCAGTACAAGGACTTCCCGCTGGTGATCTCCGAGCGCTGGCAGGCGGAGGTGGCGGAGACTGTGTTCGAGACCATCAACCAAGAGGCAGACAAGAACGAGCACAAGAAGAAGGCCAAGCAGAAGCAGAAGTTCGATGCTGATGAAAAAGGTTCAATTTGACATTACGCCTGGCGAAGTCTATTTCATGCGAAAAAAAATATAGTAGCATGGAACATATTTATCAAACTATTCATATTTCTGACTCCGATTCGTCGTTTTGTCTCTGGTAACTCGAAAAGCATAATAAAGGACACATTTTTTATTTTATTTATTTAAGACATTCAAGATTTATGAACGGCAAATATGAAATGAATACTTAATAAAACATTTTTTTTTTGTTAATTTGCAGAATCTGATTGCATTCTGCACGGCTACATAAAGAAATTGGGAGGTCCCTTCGCGAGCGCGTGGCAGACGCGGTACGCGAAGCTGTATCCCAACCGGCTGGAGCTGCATCTGGAGAACAGCGCCAAGCCAGAGATGATCTTGCTCGACACCGTGGAGGATGTCTCTGCAGACCTCGTGTCTGTCAAGGGCGAGCAGTGCATTGTGCTGCGAACACGTAACGACACCAAAATAGTACTTACTAACACTGTAAGTAACCTTATTCTCTCCTAGTGTGTTTATGAATGAATTTACCTTATGAAAAAAAAATTGACAAGTAAGGTGTCATTTGATTCGTATTCTTCCCCACGGGGTTAGCAAGTTTTTTTTAACGAAGAACTAGTGTTTTTCAATATATGAGAAATAGAAACAGTATATTTTATAACAATTTTCATACAACAGGAACATTAGTGCTGATATGAATGTTATAATTTACAGGATGAGATCGGTCTGAAAGAGTGGGCGCTATCGCTGCGGTCTGCGCACAAGTGCTCGCAGGAGCTGCTGGCCTCGATGGCGCGTAAGGCGGGCAAGATCTACGGCACCGACTCCAAGGAGGCGGCAGGACTTGCGCGTGCGCACAACGGTGGCAACTAGCACGAGCCGCCCGCGCCCCCGCGGGCCAAGATGTTCCGACGCTCCAAGAGCGCCGCGCAGCTCATCAAGTAGAGCGTCACCACGCCCCACCCCTAACTCGCCCCGCCCTACCGCCACGTAGCAGTACCGCTACGCCGCGTAGCCGTAGACCTCGGGTTGGAATAATTTACATGGGTAATGGTAGTTTACTACGTAGTGTCGGTAATTCCGCGTCGTGTTTGTATGAAAATACTAGCATTGATATTCTCGGGATATGATTTATCGATTTGTATATACGCCTTTCTATATAGAGAGGAATCGATTGTACTTCGAAGTACCATTATCCAATCGAGATTTGAATTCGAACGACGATAATCGAGTCATGTAGAGCTAGGAGTTAGTGGTAGAGTGCGTAGGTCAAGTAAAGCCATGTGAACCCTGGATTTTAATTAGGCTCTTTAAATAAGTGCTACGCGGCGCTCTACTGTTGGTGGTGAAGACCAAGTTATAGTGGTCGTTCTATACAAGTAGAGTTGTGCTAATGTGGTTAATAGTGGTTTGGACAATTAATAAACTATGGTGAAGTGAAGTTTTCTTTGCAATCTGAGTAAATGAGAAAAAAAACAATCGTTAGATAAGTTTGCTACATTTCAAAGGTTAACGATCTAAGATCAAACTTTTTTTTTTAAATATTTATGACAGTGCCACATTTGTAACTGTAGTGTAATGTTAGCAACATCAATTGTAACTTTAGTTATGCTCATGGAATTAATATTAAAAAAAATAATAATCTGATTAAATCTAATTAAGAACGTTAGAGGAACAAATAAGAAAGTAAAGTAATTCGATCTCTTGTCATGTTAACTAACGATCAAATTTATTTTTATTGATTTATTTTGAATGTGGTTTTATTTTTCGATGCATTTTTTTATCATTTAATAGATTGAAAGTAAGAAATATGTGTTGATTATCCTATAAATAGGAATAATATGAGTGAAGGAATCGATATCAAAGCAAGAATGAAGATGGCATTTTATCCTATGTATTGTGATAGGACCGATCAAATCTATAATGTAATGTAAAATAATTTTCTCTTAGTTTATTTGCATGGTTGGATTTTGTAATTATTAACATATTGTTCTGGATGTTGTATTTAACTATGTGGTAGGTAATGTAAACAATTAAATATTATATACAAATCGAGTAGATAATTCTAGCGTATGTGTTTTGTGCAATAGGTCACGCGTAAAGTACTAAAAGCGTTAAAAAAATTGTAACTTAATTTAAATTATTAGAAAAAAAAATCTTTGGATTTTTGAATTTTAATGCGAATTGGATTAATATTAACACGTAATTATAGATGCTTCGACTTAATCGATTTGTAACGTAATTAGAAGTTATAGCACTTCGGTCGTACCTCCCAATAGGGATGTTCGATGTTGCAAAGTATCGATATATCGATGTTTGGCTCAACATCGATAAGCATCGAACATCTCTACCCCGACTATTGCACACGAAATAATTGGTACGTAACATTGGGCTCTCTCCGCGACTATTTAGTTGTATTTCTTAGTAACTCGTTCGTTCGATGGAAATATTTATTAAAATGTACTTAAATTGTTTCATATAACTTGTTGAGTTTCATATCAACTGTTCGTTTAAGTTTGTTATTTATTTTATTAGATACAAAATAAGTAGATCTAATGAATAAAATCTCCTTTTCGTAAATAGAGGCAATACATTTTCTAACATTTAGATATGACGACCGATAACAATAGTAACAAAATGCAATATTTAGATAAACTTTTTAATATTCTAATGTAATGTAAATTAATTTTACTCGTGGTTTTATAATTTAATAAATATTCCATAGGAAATATACTATCTCTATGTCTGAACTTTTTGAATGTTTTTTTTTTGTAACAATGCAATTTTATTTATGAATGTCTTTATATCTGATGCAGATTTAGTTTTTTTTATTATACTTTTAAGATATCGCCATAAAAATAATGTTATGGTATTTTATGTGTAATCTGGATAAGAAAAGATTTAAATTTATAATAAAAATAAATGTCAGTACACGGTCGTTACATTATATTTTTTATCAAAAGTTATTTGTCAAGATATGAAATGATTTTATGAATTTAAAAGATTAAAATGTGGCATTTTTTACAAACTTTAAATGTTGGATTTTTTCCAAAACGAGGCACATAAGCATTTGGTCACTTCAATTCGCTTAAATAGTGAAGAGACCGTTGCTACAGACATTTGCATTTGCAGATGCACTACTTACTTTTAATTGACAGAGGAGGGGACAGAAAAAGGATATTTATCCTTTATGTGTCCTTTCCTCTGCCAAATCCAGGCATTGGAACAGAGTATACATTCGTTATTATAACTGAATACTACGCTTGTATGTGATGTTAACAAAACTAAAAGCTTTACCTAAGCACACGTGAACGCATAAATATACAAAGAAATGAATATATTTGTAATGAAACAAATCGCAATAACTACTGTAGTTTTCAAATATGTTGACGGCTCTTAACTTCGCGCGAGTCGCTATACAAAACACAATAATAGAGGGTTGCGGTAGTAGGGTACTGCAGCGCGCACATGACCTTGAGCCTACAATATATTTGAAAAGAATTATACTATATACACATATTAGATAAATAGAAGTTAGTATATTTTAACATATATTTTATCTGATTTATTTATTAAGTCCTCAAGTGTTGTTAAACATTCCTTTATACAAGTTTTTTTCGCGATTTAAAACAGTTGTCATTTTTACCGGATTTTTATTAAAATGTTCAATGTTAAAAATCATTAACAACCATAAATCTTAAGCAATTGCCTTAAATCTTTCTCTGTGTTTTTCGTTGACACAATAAATAATATTTGAATGTTAATTTTTATTCATTGTAAATATGTATTTATTAACTGTCAACGGCAGCATTAACAAAATTTGTAGTTTATTATTTTATGTACTATTTAATCGATATTAATGTAAAACTGTAGTTAACTATTAATGTAAAATGAATCCCACAAGATGCTAGTTTGTATACTGCCAAATTTTGAACCGGAATCGATATAAGATTTAAATAAAATGATAAGTAGTTGATAGTTAAATCGATAATGTTGAAAATTAATCGATCAACTATGTTAGATGTAATGTATCCTATCATTTGCTAGATATTTGATATTGTGTGATTGATAATATTTATCTATTAGGATATTGATTTAGATGCTAGTCAATTGAATTTACAACACTGGACAATGATTCGTTGAATTTAAGTGAAAAAAATAAATGTAACATATTATATAGCTTTTAAATTAACAGTTTGAGCAGTATTATAGGTTAGTTTAATGAGATCATTGTACAGTGCGATCCAAACTTTATGGTGGCTCGGAATATCAATGCACAATTTCAGCTGTTGGCGAGATGAATATAAAAGGGTACACAGCAATATAAAACAATAGATAAGATACAATTTAAAGTAAAACTCGTTAATTTCGAAATAATTGTGGTAAACAGTTTTTCCCACATAACTACATGATATTAGTCATCTTATTTTACCATACCTCTTCACTTTCATCTAAGATTATTTACAAAATAACTAAAACAATCAAATATCAATATGGTCGCCATATATGAAGTTTGACGTGACGTGTCTCATTGAATTAAGGCTTTCTATCGAAATGAAGGATATTCGTGGGAGCAGATATATGTGCTCATAGCCAAAAACGAGCTTCCATAAAGTTTGAATCTTATTATGTATTGTGATAATCACTTCGTAGTAACAAGTTCGAGGCTTATTTAGTTTTCTTATAAATGTCGCTTAGTTGCTTTCGCTTGATGTTATAATTTTCTATCAGGAACGAGTCATAGTAATAACGGACTTGTTTAAACACACATTAAGACGCTATTAAGCACTGAAGCGAAGTTTTATAAATAGAATTATAACTGTGCAATTTATCAGAACCTTATTTTAAATTGTTACAAATAAAAAAAGCAAATATTCCTACATATTTTAAATATAATTTGATTAAACGTTATCAATTTTAGTTCCTACGATTTACTAACGTCTTTGCTTCAGTAGTTATTGTGTTAAAATATTATAAAGGGTCCGTTTATTGCTGAGAGCTTAAACTGTCATTGTAGTTGTTCTTAACATTCCGATGTACCAAATTAGCTATTTATAGTTTGGACGTGTAAATGTAATGCATTTAAGATATTTTATTTAATATAATATTTTCTATTCACACAAAATATCTCGCACTGCAAATAAAATAAATAACTTTAAGTTTCTTTTTTCGCTACTGTTTATGTTAAGTAAACTGAACTGAATCTGCATCAGATGTCAAATTATGTTAATACCTCTGTTAGTAATATTTTATTGTCAACCTACATTATGTGTAGTAAATTGTTTATTTAATCATTTGGTTGTTTTATTTTTAATCCGCTAAATCACGTTTAAACCGCTGAAATACATTAAACGAGGACTGTTTACGGTCGTACTATTTTTTAGAATCGTATCTATATTGATAAATGTATACAAAAAAATATTTAAATGTCAAAAAAGTGAGGTTAGGAAATCTGCAGTAATAAGGTCTGTGGTCTTATTTTATTATTCAAATATTTATTGTCTGTGATTGAATATATATATTCAGAATAAAAAATAAACTTGACATTAAAATGACAACTTCAAAACATCGAAACCAATAAAACTAACTTTTGGATATTTTATTTTGTAAATCAAAGAATCATGAATGTTAACGACGTAATTTATTTTTCATCTCTCTTAATATGCCTCTCTCTAGGATCTCATTACAAAGAAATCGCCAAAACAGACATGAAACGGAACTACGGGGCAGGTCTTGGACTGCTTGTTGCATTTCTAATTTGTGGTCACTACATACTACATACTTTTATAATGGTTTGTGGTAATGTATTGATACTAAAGTCCTGTGATCGTCGGTAAGTGTATATTCGTATATTATTTTACAATAATAGAGTTTGATATTATGCATTTCATAGTCCTTTTATTGATACAAAACTCACTTACATGAATTGCTAATTCTTAAATTACTTTTGCATTTACAAAGAGGTGAGTAATATGTAGTTACACTAAGATTTGTGAAGGTTTTTTATAAAACTTACAAATAATAGGGAACTAAAAAAATAAACTTATATTATTTTTTCCAGATACGTCCATCAAATAAGTTTGGCGTATTCATGGACATATCTTTTGTACGTACATCACAATGTACCGTCTCATTCATACATGATTGGAATATTTCAAATTATCGCGCTAAGACTTGTAGGGCTCGCGTGTGAGTTGAGTATAGCTGAGAAGCCAAGACTAAACTACCGCGAAACGACTCCCAACGAGGCTGAAGTAATGCCTGTACCTGAGGCAGTCGATATGCTAGCTTATGCTTATTACTTCATTGGAATACATAAAGGTACGTAAATGACACAAGTATTACAATAATAAGTTTTTCTAATTTCAATGCACGAAAAACAAAGTTGTTAAATCGGCGGTATTTCCAAACCGCTACGACTTAGGGTCCTTAAAGAAGCAAGCTTATCAAAGGCCGGCAACGCATCTGCGGTTCCTCTGGTATTGCTGATGTCCATGGGCGTCGTTGAACACCTCTGTGTTCCCGCTGCCCGTTTGCCCCCTTCTGTTATAAAAAAATTGCTTTAAATCATTCATATGGTCTGCGTATCACACTAGTAACAAACTCTTATTATTCTTGAAAATTACATTACACTCACCGTAAAACATTAGGTCATTTACTACGCGTGCACAACAACGTCATAGTCGCGTGAAATTCGGCTTCTTGTGTATTGTCAGCGTCACTACTATTTTTCTATTATCTGTTTTTAGGTACTTATTACAGATGGAGAATATTTCAAGATCACCTAAATGCGCCTTTTAGTTCAGTTGGTGATTGCAGAATAGTCACCGAGGAGAAAATTAAGAAAGCGATCCTGTGCGCGGTCGGATACATGATGCTTCGCTCCAGATTTAATACTCACGTAATTAGACCTATCGTTATCGCCACCTTCTGGCCTATTTATTCTTAACCCTTTGAGAAATGCGATCATCCAAAATGAGATCAATTTATAGATTTTGTTAGTAATTTATTACTTATCTTACATATCGATATTTGCCTTAAATGATAAGGGAAAGCCTTCTTACAGCGCACTTAGCTTATGAGTGAGTGTGAAAATTTATTAGCTTTTTATTCAATTAAATATGTTTAGATATACGAAGAGAATCGTTTCTATACACACTTCGGCACGGATTATCGTTATCTTTTCAACATCCCGTTGTTGCTGATGTTTTACTTGAACACGGAGATGATAGCACTGCTCGGTACAGCAGTCTGCACGGAATCCGGCTTTGGCCTGTACCCTGTCAAGTGCGCGCCTCTCCCCGGCAGTGGACCGTCCACACATTATAGTGTTATCAATTTAATGTAAGTTATAGTAACTAACTGATATAAAGAACGGCTAAACTCTGACGTATATTCGTCCGGTGTCGGCACCGACTAGTTTCGAGCCCATCGGGGGCCTTTCAACAGGATGAGTGGGACTGGTATTATTTCGGGGACGCGGCCCGTCGCTCACTCAAATAATACCAGTCCCATTTTCCCTGATGAAGGGCCCACGATGGGCTCGAAACTAGTCGGTGCCGCCACCGGACGAATATACGTGAGTGTTTAGCCGTTTTTTTTAAATATATATTTATTATAATGTCTCACGAAAGTTTGAATAATTGTAGAAACTACATAAATTAAATTATGTTAGTTGAAATACGCATGCATGAATATTGAGTAAGTTCGTTTTGAAAAGTACTCATTTAGCCACACGTTTTAGTACAAAAACACCGGATGCTGCGTCAGAACAAGAGTACAACGTGCAAATGTTGAACTCATTTGAAATTGAGAAGTTGATTCTTGGGCCCAAGATGAAGGACACGATGCGAGGCTGGGATATGTCAATACGATACTGGTATTGGGCGTACGCTTATAGGAAGTTTATAAAGGCCAATAAGCAAGTAAGGCAAGTTCATATGGTTCTCTTTTAGGAAATGAATATTATTATTATAAAAATCTTGAATGAACTTTAAATTCAGGCTGAAGGTAAATTACAAATTCTGACTTTAATGAACTGAGAAAATTAGACATAAACTGCTGAAATTGAATAGCAAAAGTTTGGTTTTGAAAAAAGAAACATAATATTTGTAAAATTATTCTTAAGTTTATCGCATTTTTTATGTTTTTAACATATCAGGAGTGCGTTCTCGTTTATGCTATGGACGCTGTGGTGTGGGCCGTCAATACCTCAGATCATAATATCGACCACGCTTTGGGTCATCATACATTTGGAGTCTGAGTACAGCGAATTGTATGACACAGAGGGATCGGTAAAAAATCATACTAAATTTATTATCAACGTAACGTAAGTTGCGTAGAATTTGTCTTTATATATTGCTATACTTTTTTATAGTATTGACTATCACTATACATCTTAGTATAAGTCGTTTCAGATGTTTTGGCGGCTCTTAACTTCGCGCGAGTCGCTGACAAAACTCTATGTCAGGTGAGGCGAGATACGGGGGGAAGACACAGCGCAATGCGCCGTTAACCTTGGCCGCCAAGATATTTGAAATGACAATACTTTTTTTGTAATAAAATCAATTATGGAATGACTAAAGTAGATTTTAACTTAAGATGTTATTGTTGTCTGTACCGCTACCTACATGAGATTTTATGCATTTACAGATGAAATTGCCTTGGGATATTGGTTTTTCGATAATGCGCATGTTTTGCCTGCTGTACCTGACCCCGTGTTTCGTTGTAGACGATACCAAAGTTGTTTTGAGATATTATAACTCGATATATTGGATGTTTCATATTATTTTATTCGTCCTAATGTTTATTGCTGTTATTATATTCAAGAGTCGTGGTGAAAATTAGATTGTTAAAATGTTTTAGTGCACGTTGTCAATAAAGTGAATAAAACACCATATCGTAGCAATATTTATTTTAAATATAAATATGTAACACATTAAATTGTACACAAAATCATTGGTATTGATGTAAATAACACTTACAATATTTGGTTAAAAATTTTATGCTACAACAAAACAACGTTCTTTCGTTTTATCACAGATTATAAATTAAACACCAAATGGAAGACTGTTTATTGGTCAAGTCAATGATATGCGCACTAATGTGAAAGTGAGACAGCATGACAGAAAAGCTGTGAATTACAAAATGTGTGAAAGAGATAGACTATACCGCAATCCCGCAGTCTGCGATTGCGCAACGATTTGTTACTAACTTCACATTCACATACAAATATCTATGGCGCATATTAAACGCTATTTATCAAGCAATTATAATGATTCGTGATTCAATTTTTAAAAACATAAATTCTTCGATTATATCTATTTTCAAACAATAACTAACAACACCTAAATTTATTATTTCTTACACATTTTCAAGCCACATAATACAACATATCTAACGCTGATAAAACTCTATTTATTATGTTATTGTCTTTTATATGTCTTATAGAAGCACCAAAAAAACTCGCGCCTAGAATGTATATAACAGTAGGTTTCTGAGACCAAAATCCCAGTTCAAAACAATCTCTGTTTTGTCAAAGACAATGACAGGGATGATGATATGTTTGCAGAGATTTTGATTTCAAAAACCTAATATAAGTTTTATAAGTATTTTTATATAATTTATCTATTACTACTATATAAAATTAATAATTAGTCACAAAACAACATTGCATTAAAATTGGAACTAAAGTTTAAATAAAAATTAAAAAAAAAAACAAACAAATTATCACACGTAATAATATTTGAATATAAATTTATATGTACCTACGACATATGCAACTAATTAATTTTTATCTATATATATTTTTATTCGATATGTAGATACTATTTAACCCTTAAATGGACGATTTTTTTTTACGTTTTAAAAAAATATATTTGTGTAATCATTTATTTTTAATGCATAAAAATATTGGATAGTGCCAACATTAAAAAAGTACAAAATTCGTTCAGAAATAAGAACTAGTTGTCAAAATTAACAAAAAAATAAAATAAAGATAATTTTATCTGTGATGTTTAGTATGTTGTTTAAAAACAACATTGTCCATTTAAGGGTTAAGCCATCAACGGCCACTCAAAATACACAAAACTATTAAATAAAAATATAACTATATTCCAATAGTAGTCACATGTCAAAATAATTTAAATAAATCAATTTCAATAAATTTTAAAGCGTTTAACTTGCCTAAAATTATTCGTCAAAACTAAATAAAACATATTATGCTTATGTTCAACGTAAATGTAGTATTCCATTGCGGTAACATTTGTTTTAATCTGACAAAACTTGGACAATTACCTGTCACTGCAGTCAAAATCTAGAGTAAAACAAAATTATTTGCCATCAATAATTACAGTCAAACCTTGATAAGGGAGAGTCCAAGGAACCGCATTATTCGTCTCGCTTATGGAGGTCGTCCGCCAGAACACGACTATGACCCTCCCTTATCCTGGTTTGACTGTATTTTAATATAACTACAACAATAAAAATATTTAAGCAATCTTAACAGCCTTCATAGTAATAACAGGGTCTTCTATAACGGCCTTGTTTTGAATAAGTCGCAATTCAATCAGTGCTGGAGGAATTTTTCCTGTCGGTTGTTTCTCTGCAAAAACGAGGAACTATACGTCAAATCTTACCAGAACATGCGTAGCTACTGACTTTCCCAGATCTTTATAACTTGAACTTGCTATCGCACGTGACTATGTTCGCGCGGAATTGAAAAAACAAACTTAATTAATAGCCTATGTGTTCTTCCAGACTATGTTCTACATATATGTTAAATTTCAACGAGATCCATTCAATCGTTTTGGAAGTAAAATACCTTCTAACAAACATCCATCTACGCATCCAAACATTCGTGTTTATAATATTAGTAAGATATTTATAAACTTTGAGTTTCAATTTTATTCTTTACTTTTGAGCTTCAATTAAGCGAATACAAAGCCATAAGGATTAACCATATTTTTTGGAACCAGAGAGCGCAATATTAGGTTGCTTCTCTATTGGCAATACGAAAAAATCAGTAATTTTCAGTACATTCGTAAAGTATCCCTACCGTCGTATTACAAGGTGATCGTGACCTTTACTAGCTTCCTTCTTTGACCAATATAACTTGACCTAGGGAAGAGTGGCATAAAGTTTATGTATGTTTACTTACCTCTCGCCTTATCGTATGTGTCTTTTACGATGGTCTGCAGCGTTGCGATGGTCTTTTCCAGCGTCAGTTTGATGTCATTTTGTGTCCGATGCGCCCAGGCTAGGAAGAGCGCCGCGAACAGATCGCCCGTGCCCGTGTATGTAGCGTCTACGCGGGGTATCTCAATCTTATAGCACGAACCTATGTACACACAATTATAATTTAACTGTGTTTCCACTGACAATGTACTAACGATCAATCGGCTTCACATGAAGTCAATCGTGGTAGTCTCAAACAGCTCAATCGTGGTAAGAATCCCGTTTCTTCATCATCATCAGCTCACTATACGTCCCCACCGAAGGGCTCGGAGCCTACCCTAAGTTAAGGCTGATGAGAAAATAGTCAACTGGCCGTTTCTTACTAATGTTATTTTTGTAAAAACCACGAAATTTTAGACTTATATTCACGTGAAGTAATTTTCGTTAAGCCGATTAGTCGGTAGCCAATAGGAAATACCCAATATTTATACTATTTTTGTTAATTTAATGTTGGCATTTTGTAGCCATTCAAGTTAGTTCGCTATTAAAACGATAAGGTTATAAATTTAAAAAAATTACGCTGCTTGAAACATTATCATATCTCTTATTTTAAAATTTTAATATCTGCGTCAAAATACAAGCATGATGTTTACCTTGAGTGCTAGCGATACCGATCATATTCTTCTCATCACCTAATTCCGTACTGGATAACACGACCGTCTTAATACCCTTGTCGTGAAGGGCACGTATCACTTTTAATGCGTCATTCAGGTCATTGACCTTCATGCCAGTTATCAGTTCAGCCTCGTATTGATTAGGCGTTATGATATCAGCCAGTGGTACAACAACGTCTCTGTACACTGGAAGAATGTCTTCTGGTACGTACATCTTACCATTATCACCCATCACTGGATCACATACTGGAATTAAAAGAGTTTTTTGTTAAGTTTTTTTTTTTATATCAAGTTGATTGTACTTTATTGCATTCACAACGTGAAAAAAACATTTTTACATCTAGAAACTAAATATGACCATAATTTAATTTATATTATTTATCATTTTGATTGCTACGCATCGATGTGACCTTATTCCGAAGTCACACTTAAAATTAACTAACATCAACAAATTAAATTGCGTCAAACGTGCATATATTCGCAATTAACCAGTAATAAATAGTGACAGATAAGTTACATAATAAAACATTATATTAATACGCGCTTTTATTACATAAGACGTTTGTTTATAGTTAACTCCTTAAGTCACAATTGACCTTATTTTACTATATGTTCATTGCCCCTTAATATTAAAACTAATAGCTTTAATTAGGTTACTATTTAAACAACGAGTTACAATTGACTTGAGCAACTAAAGACATGTTGCATATCACAAACTAAATAATCATAGGACAAATAGAAAAAAAAATTCCATTCAGAACAGTCTCGCAGACTTTGACTTAGTCTAATGACAAAGATACCATAACATCACACTATATGTATTGGTCGGTCATAGAACGAAATATTTATCTCTATACTAGCTGTCGCCTTCAACTTCGTCCGCGCGTATTTAAAAAAACTTAATAAGTAGCCTATGTGTTCTTCCAGACTATGTTCTACATTTATGACAAATTTCATCGAGAATCATTGAGCCGTTCTAGAGATACCTTCACACATTCATTCATCCATCCATCTAAATATTCGCATTTATAATATTAATAATATTCAAGGGTGTTTGAGTAAGAGTATATAAGAAGGAGGTTTATTTACAGAATATATTTATCTAATGCTTCATTTACTTATATATTACATGCAAATACAGACATGATAAGATTACATTTAATTACCATGACTTGACTACAAACTTAATAACAGCTATCTACATAAAATAACAAAGCGTCACTTAGTTATTTACGATTCTGTCTCAATCTGTGGCAAAAAAGACGGCAAGATAAATAAATTCTGTAAATAATAAAATCATTGGTTCCAATTGTATTTATTTTTAAGTTTAAGATTTGCATATTTTTTTACTTTTGTGGCAAAAAAACTATGACCTCGCGGTAGTTCCGATTATTCAGATAATTATATTTCATCATCAACTAATTTTAATGATACACCTAATGATAAAGAGATATGCCGAGGGCAGTTAGACAAAAGACAATATTATCTTTGCCTTCAGAACTATGGCTTTTATAACATATTGTTTTCCATCAATGAATAGAAAATAATGAATAAAGCATAAAAAAAAGTCCCTTCACATTATCTACTTATCAATAACTATCAAACAGTGAATCACTTTGCCAATTATATTATTAATATTATAAATGTGTTCGTTAGAAGTTATCTCCGGAATGGTTCAACGGATATTGATAAAATTAGGCACAGATAAAGAGCATAGTCTGGAAGAACACATAGTCTACTAATCAATTGTTTTTTTAATTCCGCGCGAACAGAGTAGCAGGCGAAAGCTAGTATTAATTAGGATCTATTGTTTGTTAGAATAAGTTTTACATATACAAATATCTTGAAAACATATAGTACATTTGTTTTTTAAATTTCAAGATCGATTGGATCTTTCTATATCAATCCTATAATTAGAAATATTATAAGGCAATATTACCATAACTTTAAGGAACTAAGAACTTTTTTTAAGAGCAACCAAAACCTACAAGTAAGTATGCGGAAGAGATAAGGAAGATCTGCTAAGAATGCAAACAAAACTATGAACAATAGTCCAAAATTTCTGCCAACACCATTTGCTTACATGCTATTATGTCACCTTGTCAGTAGCAGACAGAAAAAGAAATCAAACCAATATAAGTTGATAATGAGATCAGTTCCATTACAATGTAGTTAATATGAAGCACAATTAAAAAAGTAATACATTGATAAATAGAGTGTTTGTTAAGAAACTCATAAACCTAAACAACACTGGCTAGTAAATAGTAACAGTATCAGATAAGCTTCAATGTCACATCCAACATTCTATTGTTTAATGTTACATTATGTTTATTAAATATTATTACTTCTTTAGCAATTCAGATATAAAATAAGATTATTTAAACTAATTATACACTAAAGTACCTTTGTGACAGCTAATTGACTGTGCGTAAGCAATATTATTCAGGTTTTGCAAACAGACTCATTTTTTTATACTAGGAGTCTTAAGCATGTTCACACCACATTTATGCATATTTCTTATCCTTCAGATACTAAGATAAATTATGATTAACAATGTATAATTTGTCTCAAATTCTACTTCAATCAAAAAACTAATGATGAAGGTTTGTAGTACACATTAATACTTCGGAACAGATTAACTTACCATAAATTAGGTCAGGATTTTTCTCTCTCAATTTTTTAATAATTCCAGCAATTTGTTTTAAAGAGTCCGGAGATCTTGAGTATCCAGTTAAGAAATGAGTGTAGTAGTCAACTTCATTTAACATTAATCCTTGTACTAGTTCTTCCATCTCTTCATTCTTCAACACATTCCCTTTAATATGTTTATAAGCAGTATGGGTTGAAAATTGAACTGTATTTATTGAGTCAACTTCAAACCCCAAAACCTAGAACAATTCTTATTGTTAGTTATTAATAGTAAGCATAAATTGAACAAATTGGTGTTTAGAAAACAAAACATAAAACGTTTAAACCTTTTATTGCTTTGAGTTTTGATTACAAGTTGTTTTGTAGATTGTTTAATTCTTAATAGAAGAATTTGAACCTGGTAAAGCAAGAGGCCAAAAGACAAAAGTTTGTTGCTGATTCAGGTTCGACTGTATTAATTATGTTCAAAGTAAAATGTTTACTGAATTAAGCTACTTCAACATAGATAAATTGTCATCTGTTTTGCTAAATTCTCTTTGATAAACATGTAAAGAAATCAGATTTTTTTAAATGTTACTACTGTATTTAATCGTACTTACTTGCAATGGAAACACTGCACTTTTGTTTCCAACATAACCATGTACAACATGGCTCTGGATTGAGAGCACCCTTGGGGTGGAGTCGGTAAGCATTGCGAGTTTTATTACGATTAATTTAAACAAAAACAAGGAATCAATTTAATTAGCTACAGTTAACCTAACAACACCGATAGTAAGAGGTTCATAAAAGTAGTTCTTTGTACAATTTAATTACTAATCAGTATTCAAATATCAAGGAAAATGATATTTAGTATCGCGGTCAATGCAAGTGCTTTACATTGAGTGCTATAACATACTATACGAATGTCTAGAGTTATTTACAATAAAATAACTTAAACTTTAGTAAAATATAATTAATCTAAAGAATTAAGACAACAAATCACTGAGATCACGTCTTCCACAGTACGAACAATATTGACAACTGTTTTGACTTTTGACTGACTACCTCAAAGACATTTTTAACAGCTGCTGATGTTGCCAGCTTATCCTAAGTGTCATTGTGAACTAGACGAACTTTAATGTTACCTTTTATATTAAAAACTGGCGCTTTTTTAATGGAAAAGTTAGCACTGAAGTATAATTTTACACTGTAACTCTAAAATAATAGCGTTAATAATTCAATATTACTGGGTTACAAAAACACACGAATAGGGTCTTTATTCTATTTAATGTAAGCTTTCATAGGGTGATATTATATAATTTAAAGCTATAATCTGTTAGATGTTTTATTGTACCATGCCAGATATCTTAAAGATGTTTATTTAAACTTGTTTTAGTTTGGGACATAGAATAAATGTATTCGTATTATGTTTAATTAATTTATATTAATATCTCTTTACAAATAAATAAAATTACATTACTGACTCCCCGATTGTTGTGTAGTTACATAAGCTCTTTCCAATGTATCTGTGATTATTTTCATATCATTTTCAATGCTGCGTGCCCAATTTTCTACATCACCTATTTCTTTGAGAGCACTACTGAAATTTTCTACTAACGCAAGCCACTGCTGTGTTTGCTTTGCAAAGTTCATTGCGCCTTGATGTAGCAATTTGGCTTCTGCATCCAGTTTCTTTTGATTTAGATATGCTTGTGCAACACTGAAATAGAAAAAAGAAACTGGCATTATTTAAGTTTACAAATGAAGATTTATGTTTTGTAAAATAGATCAAGCCTTTAGAAGAGTAAGTTGGAAAGCTTTTAATTCCTTTATTCGATTCAAAATGACTATCTTTAAAAGTTATAATAAATCATGTATATCTGTCTGGAATCTCGTTTTGTTAGATGAAAAAAAAAGGAAAAAAATCAATCTAAAGCAATGGTTCCTTACCCAACATTAAGGTGGTCTACGAGTGCTTGAGTAAGTTCATTTGCTGCAGCTATACATTCTTTACGTTTTTGTTCTGAAATATTATTTGATATACATAATTAATGGGTGAAAATAAATAAACAATGATAATTCTTATGTATTCAATTACCTTGTACAACTCTTTTTGCAGCTTGCTTAGATTGATGTTCTTTTATGAGTGATGATAACATTTTCTATAAAGTACACGAAACGAGTGTTCTGTTGTTAATCCAGAATTGTTGACAATCTTATCTTCAATTTGTTGTTTATTTTATTTTGTTTTGTCACTCCTTTCCTCCCTGTTTCATGTGACAGTTTACGTCACATTTGACATTAACAGTTTAACAGTAACAAGGCATCATTTTTGACATTATTTGGGCGTCACTATGTGTTGCAAGGTTCTTGCAAGTGTTGACTTCAAATCATCTGACCTACTCATCGCCTTTTTTTGATGAAGTCCATGACTCACTATAATAAACTTTATAACTATAAAACTATACAATAGAGGTCAATGCAACTGTAAAAAAGCAAGATTAATTGTTTCAGGGCCGCCGTGATTTTGTCACTTTTGTACATTTTCGTCATATTTAACATAAGTCTACTTATGCTATACTATAATGGTGATAGTCTGATAGGCTTTGAAATGAGAATGAGGCACTATCTCCAAATCCTTATTTATACGATAATAATATCTTCTGCCAATCAAAACCATTGACATGGACTGGAATAAAAATGATGCAAGGAGATAAACATATAAAAAATAATTATATTTTAATACAGTCAGATAAAATAAAACAGTTTGATAAATTCACACATTTTATTATTCATTTGTTTAATGCCCATAGTTAAACATAGTAATACATAGTCTTAGTTTATAAATTTCTCTTTATATTTCTTGATTTACATATCTTTTTTTTCTTCCGTACAATGTATAGCTCCATACTTGGCTTTGAGTCGTTCAGTAAATTCGGGGTCGTCCCATCCCCACAATTGATGAGTGCCGTCACCAGTACGTAATGTACGTTGTTTGATAATTTCAGGAGAGACAGCCTTCAAGTCGTATGCTTGTCCGATCTGAAATATATTTAAGAAATAGCCATTTTTACTTTTTTATACTAGATTCATCTGGCAAACGGTTACTGTTCGATTACATTTCTTATAAAATTATTATATTAGTATCAGTTCCTTAGGAAACTGACATTATTAAGCAATATTATTGTAATTTTCAAATAGCTTTTTAATGTATTGATCAAATCTTTGTCAACATAACCGGAATATTCCGAAGTCATAAATTGCTTGTTGACCTGAAAATGGAAGACTAAAGCAGTACGTCAATGTAAATGCGCAGAAGTCTACAGCAGTCCCATTTATACCGTTTTGACAGCTTTGCTGTATGGATTCAACGTGGACCTAACAATCGTTCATTAATAAACCCGCTTGTAAACAACTAAATCTAAAATGCATATTACTATCGTATTTTTCTACATTCTGCAATTTTCGAGACGCCGCCAACAACTTGAATAGTTTAGTTTTATTCTAATACTAGCTGTCGCCCGCGACTCCAGGCGGAATTAAAAAACTTACATCCATATTAATACATATTAATATGAGATATTAAGTACGCCGGACAAATTTCATTTTACTGTATCAAATAAGATATTCATAAACTTGGTCAAGGTTTTAGTATTATTTTTTTTAGCAAATTGGTGCATAAAATAACTGTAGTAGGTTACCTTAGCCATCGCCTCAATAAACACAATAGTTGGTGTCAACATGTTGATGAGGGGGTGCTCGCTCGCGCGGTAGTCCCAGGGGAACGTGTGGTGGTAGTTGTGGAAACCTTCCACGCAGAACATCCACACTGCAATGTTCTCCCGAGGGTTCAATGACCTTTTGATAAAAAAAATCAATACGCTTTTGATAAAAAAAAATCTTACATTAATAACATTCGTATTTGTTTTGTTATTCAAAATTCAAACGTTGAAATTTAATTGTATTTTTATAGCCTTTTTATCTAAACTTTATCTAGGAGTTTAGACTATTTTTTATCGGTAATGTTACTACTGATGATAGTAACTATGATAGTTCACTTACCATGGGTTTCTGATTACAAAATCTCCTTTTGTGTTATGTGTGATTTGTCAAAGATATTGACAGGGAAGACGATATGTCTTGTGCAGGGTTTTTGAGACTCAGAAACCAACGATTAAAGATTTTACAATTGCAACTATTGTGTAACCTATTTCTTTTTAATATATGATTGTGTGGGATTTATAAAATGATTTGAATATTACTATCTTTGTACTCTAACCTTTTTGGATCGCTGCCAACATGAAAATTGTCGAGAAGTCGTTAGAATAGACGACGGAGGATAAAGGATTTTATTACGCGATGTATGAAATATGCCATCACGATGAGGTAAATGTATTTTTTGTACGTCGTAAAGAAATATATATGTTTGCTCGTATCTGATGAATATTTAGTGCCTTTTATGTTTTACGATGATATACAGCTGAACCAAGTGCACGCCAGCCTATGATTAAGGGGGAGACTAGTCAAAGATAAAGGGAGTGATGGGTTTATCTAGCTGATGTACAATTAGATAGTAATAAAATCCAGTTTTTTTTATTTGAAACTGACAGCCAAACAATTATTAAAGGAAAAACTGAAACGTCATTTTGAGTTGTCTATGTATATATGTAAGTCTATAGGGATTGTGGGCAACCCATTATTTCGAAGTAGTTTGTAGATCTTTTTTACATTTTCGAATCTAAGGGGGCAGGGGGACGGCTGCTCCCTTCCCTCCCTTGACCACTACCACGAGCTGAACATATTTTATCTGAAGGTTAAATAGAAATGCATTTCATTTAATACCAAAAAATATTTGAAACTAAATTACTGGCACATTTGTGAATTTATTGTACTAGCAGTGATAATTCATAAGGTTTGCTCTCATTCGTTACTCTGAAAAGAAGCAGATGTGCTTTTTATTTCCATTTCGGTTAAGTATAGTTGGATGAAAATAATAATAATCCTTTTATTTCTTTTGTCAAATTTTGCAAAATACTAATTTTTGTAGCACTGAAAACATTTTATTCTCAATATTTAAAGACTTGTTACTAGCATTGTTATAAGTCACAGGATCCATCCAAATATGATGTGGGCACCTCCAAGAAAAGAGTTAATAGGCTTTTGCCAAATTGGCATGTATTATCTTTTAACCACGTCACCTCTTAATAAGTGGCATTCTGGTCAAGCACTTATTTATTCATTAACTCAAGAACAATCCGTAAAAATACTTACTTGTCATAGGGTCTGTATCCGAATTTATGGGCGAAGCTATTAACGCTCCAGACTACATTGATGCCGAAAGTGTAGCGGAGAATTGTTGGTATGAAGAAAGCGTTGATCCACGTCTCGCCCCACAGGTACACGGGGAGTACAGTCGGCAACACGAAGCACAGGATTGGCATCATCTTCAAATAATGTCTGTGGACATATTATATTAGTGTTACTTTGTTCAAGTGTAATAAGTGATGTTATTTCTGTATTTACAAAGAGAAAGATTAGGATAGCATTATGTTCTTATATTATACAAGTATTTCGAAAACAGAATTCCACAGAGGTTTGCTATGTATGTCTGTTCCATTGTAACCTCCTGTATCTTAAATCTGAATCAATATTAGCGAATGAGGTATCACTCGACTCATGTTCGTCCCCAAATTTATCAAAGAGGTAAAGCAATATGTTGTTAGCTATTTTTTTATTGAAACTGTTTCTAAGAACTTACTTTTTCTGGAACATGACTACCGGGTCTTCATAGAGATCGCTAAGGTCAATACGCTTGCCGCCCTCGATGACTTCTGGACTCTTCTTGCAGCAGAGCCAGCCCATATGCGAGAAGAACAGACCACGCTCGGCGTTGTGAGGATCGCCGTCTGTGTCCGCGTATTTATGATGCGTGCGGTGGTCGCGTGCCCATTCGAAAATGCTGTCCTGGTGTAAAAAAAAATCCAACGTTTGGTATAGATGAACATTTAAAAAAATATTTAATTACATATTTTTTGAATTTCGCGGTTCTACATACTCTGATTTGTGAAGATAGGCCGTCTCATTTTTTTCACACGGGACAAGTGGGTAGTTTAAGTTCATCGCCGCCACAATCGGACGCGGGGCCTGCGGGGGCTTGTGCGGGGAAGGCAGTGAGTTGGCACAATTAAGAGTCAGTATCGGGAGTTGACGGAAGTTGGAAGAAAATAGTCACACCTCGGACGTATCGATTTCTAGCGTACATGGTAGCTTAAGTTTACGATTCCTTGTTCGTACGACGACGACATGTCTATAACGCGCGGCGGTGCATTGGGTGCATAAGGAGGGCAGCATTGCTAGTGCCTACTAGACTAGACTTATTTGACATGGTTGACACCAACAGAGTGACCAGGTACATGCAGGCGGTAAACGGGGCATCGAGTTGGTAAGTGTCATTTCACATATTTACAATATTACGCCATTCCTTGCAATGCTTAGTTTGATGTTTGTTTTTTAACGTATTTTGGGCTGAACTGTACTGTAAATTACGTGTTATTAGTTATTATACTTTATGTATGATGTCATCTGGATCGAGATATCGGTCTATAAGTTTATCGGACAAAAATTTCAGATTCATTTTAAGTATTTATAGTAAATGTGTTTTAGGAAAGAGTCTATAAAAAGCATAAAAGTCTTACCGATAGAAGGTTACTGATTTACATAGGATTATATTTACTTCTCACATTTGTATAGTTAGGGCGTTTCTTTATCCAACATTGTTTACACATTTCATATTCTTAAATTAGTGAATATTTCCGGATGAGAGGATGCATGGAAAGGGAAAATATTTTTTCTTTCTGTGCATCCTCTCCTCCGTCGATTAAAGGTAGGTAATACATATGCAATTGCGTATGTCTATGGGCAACGGTCACTTCGCTATTTAATGTACGCGATGATTACAGGTGGCCGCTCGCTCGTTTGCCACCTTATGATATAACAAAAAAATTAATAATACGTTTGAATTGACATACTGGATACGGTAAACAATTTTCTGAATTATAAAAGTCAATAAAAGTATATTAAACTTTAGCAAGGATTTATTCGGCAGGCTTTTTGGTTTATAGCGGCAGTAATTGCTTTCCTCCCGGTCGTAAAGTCAATTCCATTAAATTGAGAAAATGACTCGGTTCCACGTACTGCTACTTGCCTACGATTGTAATACAAATAATTAAAAGTATGAGTCATGTGTATTGTTGTTAGAAACTGAAATGTTTGTTTTCTTTCTTTCTTTTTCAAGGTAAATTTTTATGAACTAATTTTGATGAAACAAATTTATTATAATTTGATTTTTTTTATTTGTGTCATGAGATTGCAGTTAAACATTTTTTTAACTAAAGTGACTTAATAAAGGTAAACTAAAGTTACAGGGTGTTCAAAAAATAGAAGACTCAACAGCTATATTGCACCTAATATGATTTGCAAATGATCAAAAGTTTTTCTTATATTATGAGTTTGCTTTACTTATTATACAATAATATCCATTAAAAAATCCGTGACAAAAATTTGAGTTGACAGTGTGGTTATAATATTTTGTTTACAAATAAAATAGGACAAATTATTTGTCATCTACTAAATTTTCAGTTAAAACGAAATCTTTTGGTTTTAATAATAAAATAGTTATGTAACATTTAAATATCCTAAGCGAATTTACACCAAACCGGTGAAAATGTGCGGAATTCTTTTTGGGCTTGGCACATTTAATTAATTTGCCGTTTTAAATGCAGCGAGATTTTAAAACTACGCTCAGCGCGTTTCCGAATTTTTCATGAAATTGACATTGACCAAGATGTGACCTAAATACGAGATTCGTCATTAAACTGAAGTATGGCGGTTCGAAAAAAATGTGAATAGCAGATGAATGAAAATCCAACGAAATGTACATTTATTATCATTTAATATTTAATTAAATAAAACAGAATTGCAATTGTCTTTGATTACTTTTTACATTTCTAACTACTCTTTTTATGTTATACCTCGTACCGTACTCGTTATACCGAAATTTGTGCGTGTCAAAGAAGTGAAATGCTTTCGAGGTTACGATTATTTAAAAAAAAAAGAGCGACGGGCCGCATCCTCTAAATAATACCAGTACTACTCTCTTTGTGTCTAGCAATGTCTGGAATTATTTTTGTAATGCATTTTAAATCTTGTTAATAAATGTTTTGATGTATTTTAAATTATTAAACGCACTAACCTGGAATCCCATTGTTTGCCATATCATTAAGACGGTCCTCAAAGGAGTTTTTGCTTTGAAGCATCTGTGCGTCCATAGACGATGAGATCCGGCACCGATGCCAATTGCACACATTTGATGTATAGCAAACGCTGAAATGTAATACAAGATGTAATGATTCAGTTAATACTGTGCTCCTCTAATACGACTTTAAGCTTTCTCAGTCAAGAGAGGTTAATATCATTTTCGCATATTTGATGTGATTGATAAATACTTTATTTTAAAACTCATATACACAACTATGCGCCAGCCTTGGTTCCTGAAGTAGAGCAAAGCGCTGTGTTTCAGGTGCCAATCTCTTCCAGTTGTCATTAAATCGATTTTACATTTAGTGACGAAAAAAACAATTATTTATAATTTAGAATATGAAATTGAAAATATTTTTTTTAATATAGGTTTGTTTGGTCGCAAATTTAAACTTTTTCAACTTACCGAAAACATTTGTTTGCCATTTAGCAGAAGTGAAAGCTAAATACAATCCATATACTGAGCTAATATGTAGGAAGAGGAACCAAAATATATTGAACCAGACGTATTCATGCTTCTTAGGAGTGGCCTTCTTTAATAGGGAGACATCTTTATCAAGGCCGAGGTCAGCAGTCTGGGTGTCCGTTTCGAACACAACTCCGCTCGGTATTGGATCCACGTTTGGCGGCATATTTCTGTTTAGGCAAAAGATATTGTTATAATATCCTTCTTAGAAATACAGGACAATAATTTAAGGCAATAAAATATAGTTATTTTAAAAGAAATATAATTTAATAAGGGCATTACTTTTTAATATCTATAATTCGTTGAATAATTTAAATAGTTTTATAAAAAGATAAATTGTTACTTACCTAAATGAGAAAGACAGACTAATTTGTTCCAGATTGAACATTCCTATTTATACATACGTTAAACAATCGAATCCTTGTGTAAGAGCATTCAATTGTTTTAATATGGGTGACCCAGATGTCGAAATGAGTTCATGAGTTTACTAGAATAATAAATTAATTACATTAACTCTAAAACTTTATAATGATACGTATAATCAATTTTGTGTTTATGTATATGATTATCAAGAATATAGAGGTTATAAGGGAATACAGTACCACTGAAGTATTATAAATAATGATCTCTACGTAGAGACAAGACCTTAAAATTTTATGCTATTTATAGTGTTTAATTATTCGTGTGTGTTGGTGTATTTTTAGAAGTTATTTTATAATACATTTGATATTCCTTGCAAGTAGGGTTGGCGTCAGGCAGGCTGACGGCCATAAAAAAAATAAATTAAAACTTTAAGGTTTATAAAAACCTTGTGGGCTAACCCTATACGTGGGATAAGGCCAGGAAGATGAACAATTTTAAGTTTATTTTAATCAAGGTTAACACCCACGTTATAATGTCACGTTTTAGTTAATATGGTTGAGGATATGATAGTTTATTATGGTGGTATATATATATACAATTACATAAGAATATGTAGTGGTAACCGCGGAGTCAGTTACTAACCGGAATCCCGTACGCTCGGGTCTCGTAATATCCGTTGCAGAAACCCAAAGACGTTTGTACATAATACCTATACTTGTTTATATAGCAAGCTTATGTTTAGGGGTTGATAGTAAGGAACAGTTTCTTAGGACAGTATTAGAGAAGCGAAAATGCATTAGAAAATCCTTTGAAACATTTCTAATCGCGATAGAGTAAGGACGAGAAGTACTCGTATGTATAACTTCATTAATTCAACTCTGATTAATAGTGTATCATAGGAATCATGTTTTTCTTTTCGTTTTAAAAAAGACAAACTAATTAGTAACCAAGTACATATACTTAGGATAATATAAAACATATTATGTTTACTAGTTAAGTCTTAAATAACAAGTTACTTAAATACTATTTAATAGAAAAGAAAATGAAATGCTATCGATTAACAAGCTAATTTCAAAGTTAAATTACAAGCTGTATTTATAGCGACGATACGTCTCCGTAACGACCACAATTAAGCTCCAACGTCGAGCCTGCGTCGCTGCAGGCACTGAAAAATAGACCTAAGTCTTTCTTTATTAGCTACTCTATCTTTTTTTACAATCTCCACGATATGAGAGAATTTTTATAGTAGTAATATTGTTCTTCATGAAATTAGAATCCTTGTAAAAAATACTTAAATTATTACTATTATACAATGTAGTTTAAAAATGAATACATACATCTTGATAATTCAGTGAATAAATGTAATCTATATAAATAAAAATCAATTGCCGTTCGTTAGTCTCGCTAAAACTCGAAAACGGCTGAACAGATTTGTCTTATCTTGGTCTTGAAATGTTCGTGAAGGGTAGGGAAAGTTTAAAAGGTGAAAAAAATCAAATAGTTGCCGGGAACTAATTAAGTTTTTTTTAATTCCACGCGGACGAAGCCGCGAGCGATAGCTAATTGTAAATAATTTGTGTATCCTTTAAATAAACATTCGTCTTAATTTGATTTTTCGAAGCGTAGTACATGTTTTTAGAATCAGTGCCTTCTGTGGTCGTCGTTCTGAATCATTCCTACAATGAAATAGATAAAAGTTCGCTTCGTGTTCCAGTTCTGTCGGATTTGCTTTAATCCTTCATTCTTGTATCGTATATAGGACAGCTATTACGTACGTGCACCTTTTTTAGCTTGTTTTTTATTTAATTTTGATTTAATTTTTGGGGTACAAAATTAATTGATAAAAATAATATGAAAAAACGTGACCTGTTTTACCGGCGGGAATAAAGTATATCTAGTATTTATTTCTAATCTATTTTAGATTATTTCTATTTCTCAAAATTCAATAACAACATGACTCATGCCCTAAACCCGAGGTAAGCAGAGACCACGAACCTCAAATTTCCTCAAAATTCATGTTTGTAGATTAGCTAAAATTTAATAGTTTTAACTATTATTAAATTAGTATTTTCAAGTTGCTATAAATTACCTTTATGGAGCAGTTACCTATTGATAAAAAACTTACGAGCTAAGAGGACTTGGGTATTATGAAAGTTTCAAGAGCGTTGACACAATGAGAAGTTTAGTTATTTTCGTGACGTCTTAATGCATAAGGGATTTGGGAAAAGTTTTAATGGGACTTGTTTGTCAATAATAAATAACGTGAACGAAATTAGTTTCTAGAATATAAACTGAGCGAAATAGAACATAAAAACAAAACATAAATTAATTTTGACATAAAAAGTTACAACAAGAAACTTGTATGTATATCATTGCAGTAAGCAGATTTTTGGAGAGGGTTTGACGGTCAAGTAACAAGCATAGTGATGTTATTCATTTTCAAACTTCGCATGATAGCTTCATACTTTCCTATTTACGTAATGTACTTGATAATATTTTCCAATGAATAGGCCCCTGTAGGCGTCGTACACAACATCTAGCGAAGACAAATACCTAAACAAAGCGTTAGGATTGGAAAAGCAAATTCGTTGAGTAACTGGGGCACAGACCGGAAATTTGTTTACATTCCATTTCGGCAAAGCTCCCGAGTGGCGACCGATCCCCGGAGCACGGCGTCACATTATTTGACGATAAACATAAATTTCGTACAACGTATACAGCGTGTTACAAAATTCAACGATAAGCCAGTGTCTAATCATATGGTGTAGGGTAGCAAATAATAAGAAAAGTAACAAAAGTTAATGTAACTTTTAAACAAAATGAGTTCGATTTTTTGTACCTTTCCCCATGTAGTTATCGAACTGGCTACACAACAGTACCGGATTATCGTTGAATTTTGCTACACGCTATATGTGTAAATGTAGAGAATCAATCATTTTTTTAATAACTCCCGTAATACCTGAGCTCTCTTGTTCCACTGTATGATTTTGGGAATATCTTTTTTGTTTGTGAACCATTAACATTCCTCGCGTATAGAGAAGTACCTGGTTTCAAAGGACAAAGTAGCACTTCATTGAGTAGTTTTCTTATTTTGCTATATCAAAGCTATTGAGATTGAGCTTTAGGAAGGTATATTGGAAAGGTGTAAAGGCTCACTGACCGTCATTGGTGTATTGCTGATGAGAGTTTATGATGACAAGAATTTAGTAGTGGATGATGCTATTTTATCAATAAAGGTTATTTAAAAAAACTCGATAGAGAAAATATTTTATGGCACGTTACAAAGCAATGCTTAGTTCCACTGTAAAGTTGTACATTTGTATTGTTAAGTAAAAGTATCAAAGTGGAGCGAGCTAACGTCAACGCGGCGTGGGATTAGGATTACAGTGTCGTCGCCACAACTTGAATCCTTTCCAGTTGTTTGTTTTTATTTTATCTATTCTCTGTTTCATCTAAAGTTACTAAAAGTAAAGCTGTGATTTAAGTTAGTGTAACGTTAAGTATAAGAATACTTAACGCTACAAGTTAATCAAGAGATTGTGATAACTTTTAAAAACAGCTCACAATTCAAATTAGTCCTGATTAGGTTTGATAAGATGTTTTACGCATGTTTAGTGGCTATTAGGTACTTAATTACTATAAGTAATCAATTATTAATTACACATAATTAACTTGTGAAATCTGTCGACCTAATTTCAAGATAGGTATGCGCACTTACCTCACATACCACGACTAGATCGATACCTGAACAGATTCAGGTTAAACCACAACTATGCTCGGAGACTGTAACAAATACCGGGCGGTTCTTGCTATTTCAAACTTTATTATAAACTATTTAACTCGTAGAATTATCTGCAAATTAAATTGCTCGAAGATATTCATACAATGTAAAAATATATATTTATTAACATAATATAGCATTGTTACAGAATCGATATAATTTGATCACTACACGTTTATTAAAACAGTTTACATAACATATAATAGTAAATAAAAAATTACAATGAATAAAATAAAACAAAGATAAACCAGACCTGAAATTTATCATGTCTACTGTATAATATTATTTTAAACTGAATTTATTACTCACTTTCTTATTACTTGAAAATTTGACTTTGAAACAAAAAAAAAAGAATAGACGTAACCAATTAGGTATTAATGGACTATAGGCATAAAATATTCAGATTAATAAAAATAAATTTTGTAATATAAAAATTTTGGCTTAAATATTATTGCCTAAAGCAATTGGTATTTGAAAAAACGTGTCAATAACGATCATTGGTATTAAGTAGGGAGAAAAGTTATAGAGAACACGCTTACCGCTTAAGCCCTAAGGTATAAAACCTTATTGTATAACTCAGACGCGTACACTGTGGTGGTTGTAAATGTGTGATCAATCAAATCAGATTTTATTATTATTTAGTTTTGATAAACAAAAAAAACATAATTTGTTTATGTTAAACATAATTTATTAACGCAAAAACACATCCCTTAAAGAATGGAAAATAAAACAAACCGATGACTAACAAAACAAATTCTTTGAAATTATTCAGGAAGAATACATCTTTAGTTTTTAAATTAATAAATACATTTACAATTTATACCAGCTTGTAACATACGTAGTCATATTGTAAATTAACGTAAAACAATAGGTCATCTAGACATCTTCAACCTTGTAGCATAAAGTTAAATGATTTCATTTATTTTTCAAACTACTTTATACCCTAACAGAACCCTAGTGATTGTCAATTCAGTTTCTAATTAAGTATTAAAACGGTCATTTGCACGAAGAGCAAATTAAGA